GTAAAGTGCTTCCATTCATGCATCCGCTGCAGAGATTTGTGGTTCTGGCACCTGAAGATGTGGGTTGTCAAAACAAAACAGCCTCCTATCTCATCTGGCTGTGGAGTAACAGTAACAAAGGCACTCATTGGACAGGAGATTAGTAGGGGAGGCAGAGCAATGATGTAACACTGATGCTTCTGCTACGGGAGCTGACTGACAATATTTATTTTTAAAAAGCCTTTGCTGGGGTGGAGTTCTTTGACATTGATAGTAATAATGACAGGAGATGAAGTATTTTAAGTGATCTTAGGTGTCACCTTACAATTCATAGCCTCATCAGTGTAAACTAAATATTTTAACAATATATCACCAGTGTTTGGGGAGCTGTTTGGCACAAAGTAGCACGCTTCCATTCACATTTTACCACTGTAGTAAACTTGAGGTTACCAGGCAGGTATCATCAGTGGTCAGCAGCATGGGGGTTGCTATAATTTTACAGGAAAAACACAGCCTGAGACACATTTTTAGCTCATGTTAGTTACTCTCTGAGCGAATCACTGACTTGCTTTGCTAAACAAAGGTTAAATAGCTATAGTTGTTGGGTCTACCTGACCTGGCTGACACCAAGTGTTTTAACAGGGGACTGTGCAAATGGAGAGAATGGCAGAGCAAGAAGGGTGCTTCACTTAGCTCTTTGCTCTGTCTTGTCCAATTACATGTTCCACTGTCAAAGCAGTAGCACTCCTAATCAGGTAATGCTGGGGTTTAAAGTCGTCCCCTTAAACGTGCTCCAAAGATTATTACAGTGCTAACACTTTAGTTCACTGGAGCGGAAAACAGTTTGAACCTTTGTTCTCTATCCTATCTACTTACAGATAACTGATTTCACTCCAAATTGAACGTCTTTTGTTTTGCAGATTCGTCAGTCTCTGTGTGCGCGTTTGCTGTGAGCGTTAGCCTGTCACACTGTCTCAGTCTTTGGCTGATAAAGTGACATAGTTGTGTCAGATGATCTCCCCTTCCCCTCCCCTCCGTGCTAACATGGCACCTCCTTATCCTGAGTCTGCTTCCACTGTACAGCCCTAGGCCCTGTGGGAGCTAATTCCTTACAAACTATGACAGGCAATAAAAGATGGAGGACGTGTACACACATACCCAAGCACAATAAATATATAGGTATATACACACACACACACACATGCAGCTGACACACAGATCAGTCACAAGATTAGTTATAAATCATTTTAAAAACATTCTACAATTAGCTGTGCACAGAAATCGCTCTTTCTGCTCACACCCTTTCTCACACAACTCCGCATTTTCATTTCGTCTACACACACACATTTGCTTTCTCATCACTATGACTCATCTTTTACAACACAGCTTATCAGTCTCATTATGGTATGTACACATTTGTGTTTACTGTCACTGAGGTCCCAGCTGAAGAAGCTAGCTGTTGCTCTTTGAGCAACAGATGTAAGGGCACCTGGCACAGGATTGCATCTGCATCAGCCTACAGAATAAATACGAGTGTTTTATATGAGCATCTCTGTATATACTGATTGCACAGAGACTAATGGATATTTAGTCATAGTTTACATAGCAGCCTCCTTCTTTCTGCCCCTTCTTACATTCCTGGTGAAAGACATTGAAACTGAAACTACGTGACAGATACTGCACACATTCTGACTGTGTATATTCTCATAACAAAACAGAGGCAGTAAAGTTTTAGGTGTTAAGAGCAAGTCTCACAGCCAGTCCATGGGCGTAAACCTGCTGCTATGTACTTCTTAAGCTATAAGCTCCCACGGACTCCATTTGTGGCAGCAGATTCAGATTATACATATGAGGAAGTATCTCTTTGACGGAATAATCTGTGCTTTCCTACACCTCACAGTTTCTCATGTACACCTCCCTCCACCACACCAGACAGGCCAAAATCTATTGATTATGTGTAAAGAAGAGGATCTTGACCAAACCTTGGCATGACTGGAGCTAAAAGGCCAGGTGTTTTCATTAGGGTAGACATCAGGCTTGATTCTTATTAAATTGACAGCCATTAGTGGACCATTCAAAAGGCACCCAGAAGGAGCTCCATTGGTGTTTAGCCCTTCTGTGACCTGGTCATTATGGTCAATTTCTAGCACATGAACTATCTACCCTTTGTCCTATGTGAACCTGATTAGCCAGGTCATTAGCATTGTTAGCCCAGCCTTGGTGACGCAGCCTTTCACTCAGAAGGAGCCTATTGCCAGCTTTGGAAGAAGGATGGGATTACAACTACTCTCAAGGTTTGGCTTTAAGCAGCATTTCTGCTGAGCCCCTGTGGTCACCGTGCCTGTGTCTTAAGAAATGCTAATTGTCTTGACAAGTGCACAACATAAAAAGCTGTATGAACTTGGATGTAAAGTCAGTTGTAGTGTTAGTTTGTTTGAGTTATGTTTTATGTGTGTGGGGTGTTTTTTTGTTTTTTGTTTTTTTTTTAGTTCTTCTTGGAATTTGTTTTGTCACCTTAAGGATAATATGAGCTTTCGCTTTGCATAATAAACCTGTCTATTACCAGTTGCGGTTTAATTGGCTGTAATCTGTTTAAGGGAAGCTTGAACTTTTACCCTTATGATCTTTGACCTCATTTTAAATACTAACAGATGGTTGGACTGCAAGTGTATTGAACAAATGAGATACTCCCATGATCCAGTGACAGATTTTAGTGTCGATAGTGTGAACTTTCCTGTTATATCTGTAGCGTGTGGCGTCATCCATCTCTCTAGCTTTTAATATTTGAGTTTTTATTACATGCTTATTAATGAGTATCATTTCAAAATTACAAGTAGCTTTATTGATCGTATCATGCAGGTGTTCGGGGGTAACATGAAACGCAATTAATGTTGCCGCTAAAGCTCAGTGACAGTGTTGGCAGGGTTGTGTGTTTTTGTTGAGGTTACACCACGTGTCATTCAACACTTCTGTGCCAAGTAGAGTATCCCTTCAAGGGCAGAAGGCTCCTCCAGTCTACAGCAAAAAAAACAAAAGAATATTCTTAGGAGATTTTCTGCTCCAGTGTTTAGATGATTTGTGTATTTGCCATGTGCAGGTATTCTTCTGTTGTGACGTGCTGCTGCTCTTGGATCACAACACTAATGTCACCAGGAGGTCATCCGCTGTTTATAAGACAAGAAGCATTGGATTAGCTGGTCTAAGATGAGAGAGATGCTTTGGTGCATGGTTGACAGTGCACATTGCCCACATGGACTCACATGTAGCACTATAAATTTGCACATAAAAGCATCTGAATGCATTGTGCTGGCCACTAAATCAAGTCTTGGATACAAGCAGTCAGCTTCAGTGATGCAATAGGATGTACACATGCTTCAGTATTGCTTGTTTAGCAATTTTTTTCTGTTATGTCAACGACAACACTAACTGTCTGTGATTCATTGCTTCTTGTTGTCCTGCTCATTGATTTTCTGAGAGGAAATTACAATATTTGATTGGATCTTCGAAGCAGTCGGCCTGAATTTATAAACAAAGAAGAAACTCGTCTTACTGTAAAACTCAATCAGTTTAAAGTTTTCTGATCTAGTTGGCCACTTAAAAATGATCACTGTTTAACAAGCTCAATAGAGTGTTTTCACACTTTGCTTTATTCTGTCACTCAGTGCACAGATCAAGGGCCGGACTGAGACTGAGCATGTGACAGCATTAAAGCTCAGTGGAAATTCCTCCAGAGGATGAAAACTAAGAGCCATGCAGGAAAGGGAAAAGGAAAAGAGAAAGGTGGAGTTGAGTGAAATTTTATTATAGATTAGATTGACTGCAGTGTTTTAGTTTGCTGTATTAATATTAGCTATTTAATTCTTCTGCTGTAGCTAAAGAGTTTTTGTCAAAATGTCATGATAAGCCGTATATTTGATCTCCTTTTCGACTCACTGCAAATTTCAGCTATTGAAATGTGTGGTGTGCAGCAATTCAGAATGCTGAATATCACCTTTCCACATTGCTTTCAGCTATGCACTTGTGCGAGGTTCAAAAGTGGAATCAATTTACTCTTACGTTATGTCAGCACATGACATCACATGGGTGCATTCCTCGGCTGGCTCGCTTGGCATGTATTTGGGAGAAAATCACCTCCACGAGGCTACCGAAGCCTGTCATTGAGAGGTTTTTAACATAGCCAAATAACCTGGCAGAGTCCTTTTTCTTTTTTTCTTTTTTTTTGAGTTACCAGTTGCATTTTCTAAGTATCCAGATGGGAATATGACATAAAATTGAAACTTTTTTTCTGATCTAATTAATTGTATGCCATGATTAAAAAGGCGCACGGTGTTCCACAATGTAATAGGCTTGAAGGTCCCCGAGGATATGAAAAGACTCTGTAGACGCTTAACTTGCAGTTCGGTGCTAACTTATTGTAAACAGTTACTAGATAAAATGACTTGACAGTTAATTAATTAGCCGTGGCTCTAAAAAGGGGGTTTGACATTTGGTGCATGTACTAGAGATGAACTTTGTGTGCTGTTCAGTCATTCTTCAAGAAATGCAATTCCACAAATTTCATTGTTGTTCTCCGATGTGAGAATTGGATGCTTTGTCCTGTCTTACATCATGGTCAAGGGGATATTTTGGGTTTTGGCCTGTTGGGCAGGCCACATTTCTGCAGAGTCTTACAGTAATTAGTTTGTTGTACAGAAACAAGCTTACACAGCATCTGCTTCAATCTTTTGTACCCAAACAGGACATCCTTTGTAGGAGAACCCATACCCGAGTAATTATTTTGACATTTTTTTGTTTTTTGTGATGACATTTCCATGTGAGTGATAGTATTACTTTGAGGTGTTATTGTTTTAAACATGCAGATCTGCAGCTGCATTCATGCAAATCGTTTTCTAGAGACAACGTGTATCCACTGCAGCCATAAAGCTTGTTCTCACAAAACACTGTTGTACCTTTCTGTGATGAGAGTTGTGCTGATTCACACTGTGTACTATACATCCCAATTTTCCTGTTATTTCTTTCAGCAGGGAGAAGTGGATGATGCATAAAGGTTTCCTAGCATTATCGTCTTGCAGCAATGGCCTGAGGGACTCTCTGGACTGATACCAAGGTGAGATTCATAGCCACAGCCCAGCTCTCCTTTTACGTAACTCTACTGTGCAATATGACAAATAGACACTCTTGTCCAAACACAAAATGACCGACTGTACAGATGACAAAATCCAAACTAATAAAAAACATTGTTTTATCTTAATTTTTTTTTTAAGATTAGATTTAGTCTCATGTGTACATGAAAACAATCTCCTGCATTTGTGTTATTGACTTGGGGAGAAGTGCTGCCTATATATGCTTTCTATTATAAGCTGTTTCCTAGATGATTTCTCTCGTTAAACAAAACATTGTTCAAACGGCTCCGTCTTATTGGCACTGATATTACTGTGAGATGAGCTGAATACCTCTCCCCTGATTTCCACACAACTCTTGCTTGACCTTTTTCTTTGCGCCTGGTAACGTCCAGATCCAGCTGTTTTGTGAAAGTGAGGGCTGCATCCAGTAGTCCCGTTGGTCTGCAGTATTCATCCATCACACTTGAAAAAAGCTTTACTTTGAAACCATCATCACTTCTCCAAGGTTCTGTTATTTTATAGGGTTATAGATCAGATGGTGCTGGTTAGATTTTAGAACTACTTCATTGCTAGTAGTTCTTACAACAGAATTTGCACGAGCTGGCATGAATTTAATTGACGTTAATGAAACAGTTTTTTAAAAATGTATTATTAATGTACTGAGTCATATAGAGTTTGTGTTCAGAGATGTATTCCGATATTTATATTTTCCTACATAATATATGTCTCAGAGTGCCCATGTTCAACAGTTGTGCATAATATGAGTAATGAATGTCAGGAATGATTCACAGATGTTTACATGTATTTTTGTTATACAAGTAACACTAATTAAGAATCATAGAGCATCTGAAAATGCAAATGCATTTCTTTATTTAAATCAAGCAATTGATTAAAGCCACAGTGACACAATGAACATCAACTGGGAATAGTTTCTCATTTATACAGAGCACAACAGGGTATGAAAGATGACATGACATGATTTTATATTGTGATCACTTTGACTGGAAGTAGTGTTTGTATCTCTACTGTTTTGACACTTTTAACATTCAGTCACTCCGTACCAGCTAGGCCTTGCCCACATCATATTTGCCTGATTACAGATCAACCAGGTTGCCGTTGTGGTGGTCCTTGATTTCATTCGTCTGCCTTTACAGTGAGTCTCTGTCCAGTGAACAGACTCAAACCCGACTGTCTTCGGCTGCAACTGGCGACAGTAGTCCTTGTTCTGCTCTTTGTTGTGAGCTAGACGGCCACTGCAAACAATTAGATGCAGTCTAAGTGGTTCATGTGAATGCTGCAGAGCAGAACAAGGACGACATGAAGTCCGCTGGTGATGAGATGGCTGACTACAATCAGCTGAGTGACATTGTGGACCACCACAGCAGCAACCCAGCCGACATATAGGGAAACACAAGGTGGGATCGGCTGAGGATAGCTGGTTAGCAGCAGCTGAACTCTCAAAATGAAATATTTACATATAGCATTAATGACATGATCGGTATGGTTTCACTTAAAAGCAGCTCGTATGCTAATTTGAGATTGTCCACAATGTAAGATTGTCTATTTGCATGATAGGTTCTAGCAGACAGAAGAATTATAAGTTGGTATATGCCAATTCTGATCATTTAAGAAACAGACCCCGAGACATCGGCTCAGGAATTTCCTACATTTCACCTCATACAATCAACTAATTTCCTCAATGATATCTGAATCTCCCGTCTGCTGCTGCTCTCAACCACAGATGAATTGTTGACTAGATTGTTGTGGGGAGCTGTTTATTTATACCAGTTAATCAATTTTGCTAAGCCTTGGTAATTGACACACCAGTTCACCTATCCCACCAATCTTCTCCTCTCAGTGTGTCTGTGACAGCCAGAGGCCAGCATTCTCTGCTTATTATACAGAAAGCTCTCTCCTTCCCGTCCTGCGACATCCTGAAGTGACTGCCAGTGTTAAAGATTGATGAGCGTGATCAGCTTTCAGTAAATGGGGGGCCTGGCTCTTGGTTGCACTCTGGCACTTTAGAGCCATTACCTTGCAGTGATTCTGGAGTGGACAAACTCTTGAGTGGGACTTGGTAGCAGGCAAATAGCAAAATTTCTTGTTTACTAAATCAGCAGCAGTCTGTTTATGTGTGTTTGTGTCAGATTTTCTGGGCACATGTCATTTGAATTAAATTGATTTGCTTTTATTTACCGAGTAACCCAGATATGGTTTAAGTGTTTAAATGTCATTCAGTAACCTCTGAATAATGGGGAGCTTCTGCAGGGAACGGCAAGTTATTTTTATACACTTATACAGTGTAATTTAGTAATGAAGTATGGGGAAATACAGATTTGAGGCAGTGATCTGACCACAGGGTCAAATGAACTTTAGTAATTATACTCTGTAAACGTTCTCTTTGAAAAAGGCCCATGCTCCTTTTTTTTGTTCCTTTTGTTTTCCCTGTGTTCTTTTACTATATAAACTCTGAACTCTTCTTTTCTCCCACTGTTCGCTATTGATTCCTCTCCAGTGAAATGCGCATCATTCAATTGTTGTTAAATTCAGCCAAGATCCGAGGTTTCAATGTCACACCGCTGTGAAGCTCTTTAAATCAATCATCACATTCCTCCCTCTGCCTCTCCCTTGAACCAAACCTAATATCACAACATCTGGTTCAAGGTAACAGCAGCTGTCAGCAAGGCCAGAGTTCACTGCAGACCCCACTCATATTGCAATCTATTGAAATTGATATTGTTTTTAAATACACATTTGTCTTTAATACTATCTTACACAATTCCAACATGTTTCTGTATGTTTTGGCACGCTCAGCGTTTCTTCTCACCCTTGCAAATATTGAGACGTAAGATGAGAAGACACCAGTCCTCTGGGCCCCTCCCCTGTCACGATTTCCTATTCAGTTTGCGGGAAATAAATGGTCCATGTTGCAGCCCTCCAGAAGCAGTCTTTATTGGCGCACTCTTGTTCTCCATTTCTCTCTTGAGGCCTGTTGTGCCAAGGAGCCATGTGAGGACAGATTACACACCAGCGAGACATTGTTCCATACCCCACAGAGGTTTTCTGGAAGGGCCCTCGTTATTATAGTGCAGGAGACTTCAAACACTTCCCCAATAGCTTTTGATGCAGTTTAATGCATAGTCATGCCCAGCACTCTCTGAGCTTCAGAAACACTGGGTGTGTCTCTATAATCAAAGCCCTGCTAACCCACATGATTACAGGAATGGCACACTGGCACATGCCCTCTCCCCTTGGCAATCAGACACTGATTTTTTTTTATTTTTTTCCCCCTGCATCCATTTTTTCCCCCCTCCATTATACTATGACTGGAATGGGTGATTCAGTGTTTTTGAACGCCCCCCTTTGGTGATGTGCGTTCAGCCTGGCTCGCTTTGTGTGGTTATGGCGGCTGGATTGTGTTGAAGAAATACAGTCTAGTAGTAGAAGCAAATGCTGGAGTCACAACTGTACAGTGTTGAAGAGTTATACAGATAGATTTAAGGTAAAGGAAATGGTTGCATTGTCTGTAATTTGGCAGTATTTGCTGGAATCAGTTTGACAACATTAACATTAGGATAATGTTTTCAAAATACCACAATATAGCAGAAGTATGCAGAAACATCACATGATATAAATTGTGTCCATAGAAGTGAAATTCCACTTTTGTGTCCCAGCCTCTTTGCACATGTAAAACTAAAAATTCAGCCACTGAACTCAGAATCCCCCCCTCAGAAGCATTCATTTGTACTCATATTATTGCATGTAGGAATGTGCCAGTGAGATTTTTTTTGTTTTTGCAGCTGAGTCTATTTGCCAGTACTGTTACATTAGAATCAGCTCCACTAGTAGTGATCAGATTGGCTCCATTTCTTATCCTTAATTCGTACATTCAGCTACCAAAGTAGTCTTTCCTTTTTCAGTATTAGTCACTCATTTTAAAGTAATTGGATAACTTATTAGTATCACGGATTATACAAAGATACATTTCCATGTATGTCACACATGTTGTGAAGCAGGAGATGTGATTCAGCTGCAGAGCAAAAGCAGTCCCGTCATAGTGGATGTATGAAATTCAGAAATTTGGAGAGTAACGGCATCCTGTCATCCTGACAGGTTTTGAGCACCATGTCAACTCAGCATCACGTCAAGTGTGTGCAGTGTGGCAGCACTGTTTGATCCAACTCAGAAGTCGCAGAGTGAATTTTCCTGGCACTGAGTAGCCTCTGCTGGGTGTGAACTATTATCTTGTTACAGCCTCACATATGCAGATAAATCTTGTGCGTTCGCTGTGTTTATTGTAGTCTGATACAGCATGCTATGTACAGGTTGTACCAGCTGACTTTGACAGGGGGGAACCATGGTCGCCTCCAGCACCCTGGGCAGCCGTGGCAGCAGCCCCTTGTCTGCATTCCACCCTCGCCAGACTGGTTGGCTCCAGCTCAGTCCTGGAGAGTCTGCTCTTGTGACACCTAAGATATAAGCAATGACACACACCTATATTCACCTCGCTGGAGTGCACCTAATACTTTCAAAGTCAATTGATTTCTCAAGCTTTTACTTGTGTTTACTTCATTGCAATGTTGGTACAGTGAGAAACAAGTATTATTTTATATTTGGCATATCTCTTATCATATTGCAGTGTCTCCAAAATGGCCTAAAAAACTGGTTCAGATGTTGGAAAACCATCAATGTTGTGTTACCGAGGTGGTGTTGTGGCAGTTACAGTGGTTTAATAGCCTAACCCTTCACTTAATCTTAGGAACCAGTCACACAGATATGATGAAGATGAAAGCCTTTAATGAAGTGAGAATTGTTCACGCTGGCAGAGCTGGCCTGTCAGCACACAAATATACAATTATGTTTGCAGTCGTGTGTGTTTGTGTATGAGACGGGAACAGAGGGAGTCTGAGTAGAAGTGTTTACTACACATGTGGGGACCTAACTCATCACATCCTCAGAGTAGCGGCACAACTGCACGGAAGGAGATTTGCTTCAATAAACCGAATGACCCCCAGCATCATTTTCAGTCAGATTTTCAGTTTGTGCTTTAACAGTGATTGTCAGCCTGACACTGCTTTGCCAGCAATAGCCAGCAGTCGGCCAAACAAATGGTACAAAGCAATTCACAGGTCATAAGTGTAAGGCATCACTCTTTTGACAGATGAATAGCTTACAGACTCAAAAGATGATGTGGCTGATTTGCCAGGAGCATGGTTTTGTCTTTTTTTTTTCTTAGATATTTCCAAAAACAGCCTTCATGTGCTTTACTGTTGGATTTATTTTCATTTTCTATGGGGACATTTAGTCAAAATATATATTTTCCTTTATGCTGTTCCTCTTTGCTTTTTTTACAATCAGTTCATGCTTTCTGTATCCACAAGGGTACTTGTGACCTAAATATTGTCATCCACACAAGTCCATGAGGGTCCATGCAGACCACTCAGCCCGAAATGTGTACCTGTCCGCACCGCACTGCAAGCAACCCGACTACACAAGTGCCAGAGAACAAATGGTGCTTTAAACATGCTTGTTTTAAGGAGAAACTGTACAAGGAGATTCCTCTTCATCCACACTGTAATAATGCCATCATTATAAGGGTTGTAATTTACGTTGTCCTTCCAGACTTTGTAGATGTTTGATTTGTAGATGCTTTCCATTGATGCTACCCAAACACAGTGAGAAGTTGTAATTTCTCCAGAAATCCTGTGCTAAGTCCACCCACTGTGCTCGACATACCTCAGGAATAATCACATTGACACGGTGCTGCAGCCGAATCTGTAACCAGCTGCTACGTCGTGCAAAAAGTGCAAAGTCTCAGTCCTTCAGAAGCATCTGCAGGAACCCCTGTGTGGATTTCTGTGTTGTATATGAGGGGCGATGCAACTGTGTGTGTGTGTTGCGGAGCGACGCATACCTAATGTTGTATGAATAAACTACATTTGCTGTGCATTTTCAAAGTCCACATCAGTGTGGAGACGGAAAGCATGAACTGGCCCTTACTCTTATGGAAATATGGCATGCCTGACTGAGTTTCTACCCCTTTTTTGGGTTTTGTGGAATATTGTTTTGAAGCCCCATTTAGCGTTACACTGATTGCACACTGTCTATGACTAACATAAGGTAACCTCTAATGACTGACAGACCATATGTCTCAACTTACAATACTAATGAACTAAATGAGCTGACAGCTTGATGAACTGTAAATTTGATAGATGCCTTCCAGAATATGCCTATCACTCCTATACATAATGAGGTTACTCACCCAACCCCCACTTATCCTACAATGCTCCGACTCTAAAGTCTGTACCCAGCGCAGGTGTACCAATGGATGGTTGTCTCTCACTGCAGTCATTATTCTGTGTTAAGCCTGGTAATGTTACCCCAAGTTTTCATGTGGCCTGCATTAAAATATAGCTTAGTCTATTCAAATTGTTTTCAGTTGATTATTGTTTGTCTCCGTAACATTCGTTGGGATTCTGTCATTGCTGATGGAAAAAACACTGGGGGAGCATGCTACACCATGGTGATAAAATGATAGCAATACATCCCATGTGATATGCACAATATCAATAACATTGGCAATATTGTTCAATAGAATTTTCGATAGTTTGTCTTCTGTTGTACGAATAAATCCCAAGCGTGCTCCCCCCATGGCTCGTACCAGTCTAACATATCACCTCATAATGGAGCCCCTTTGTCCTCCATTGTGCTGTGAGGTGTGTTAGCCCTTGGTCACCTGGGCCTCTCGTCACCCCGTCTATTTATTTTCTTGTATCTGTGTGATTTAGTATTGTGTTCTTTCATAGTCGTGTTCACAATAAAATTACTACCTGTGTACCTCAAAGTGGTTCAATTCAAGTAAAATGAATGTAAACATTTTCTCCTGCTATCTTTTATTAAAAGTAGGTCAGTAAAAATATTAGTCATTTTAATGTCAACTAAAATTAGAATGCTATATTGCCTAGCCCTACATGATGCCATCTGTCACTTGCTGAGGCCTGTGGTATCCAAAAACATTTAGGCTTTGAGGAACTCTCCCCTAGTGGCTGATGTTGATAATTAACTCCGTGACACAGCTCTGTACACAAAGTGCTAACACCACTGCCCAGCTGTTTATAGCCGCCCAGGGATCCAGGGCATTCTCTAGGATTAGAAGTCCCTTGCTTGTCTGCCCATGTGAAGATCAGATCCATCCCCCCCCAACAACAGAAATGGCCTACCAGCCCGCTTGCCAGGCTGTCTGACTGTCTGTGTTGGTGTCATTGAAACGTGCCTGGTACTTCCAGTCTCTCTTATTTGTCTCAACGTACAATGACCCATCATTACTGCCATGTCAAGGAGACGGAGGCAACCAATCATATCTGGCCCAGCGGGACAGGCGCAACCAATCAGGTCTAGAATCCCCATGGTAACTTGTGCTTGAAAGCCCAGGCACAACCAATAGGAACATCGAGTGCCACTTAGCTATTAGGGTTTAATGGCCTGTTTCTGTTGTCATTAATAAAAAGCATATAACCTCCGATATAAAGACTGTTATATTTTCAGCGGACAGCACAGTGCCGAAGCATGAAGACACCCCAATGGCATTCAAAAGAACACAAGGACACGCGGACCCTGACGTTTGTGTGTCATTATCTGTTCATTTACTGTACAGGCCAACAATGGCACTCAAGTCGCTTGTCAACAGAATGTGTTTTACCCCTCAGAGTCTCCTCTGCCTCTCTGACCAATCACCGCTGCTTTGACTTCATCCATTTGAGCGCAGACCCTACCATTAGCTTAAAGTAGGTCACTCCAGGCCAGGAGGGAGCCAGACTCAAGTTTGCATGGTCACTATCTCTCTTTTTAGTTTAGCCTGCTTCTGCCATGCTATGCTATTCCACTCTGCTCTACATTGTGTTCTTCTCTACTCCGTTCGTCCTTATGTAATGGCTGAGCAGTGAGCGGTGTGTGTCATAGCCGTTTCCATGGTTAGAGTGGCTGAGAGTGTATCACAACACAGCATGCCCCAACCTTGGGCACTGTACTGAGGAAAGACTTTCATTTTGTTTCTCAAGGTCTCACTGATTACCCCCCCCCCTTTTTTCGCCAAACCTCTCTGAAAACTGTGTAGATCTCGCATGAAGCAACAAGAAGCTGTTTTCATGCATATATTTTCCATTTGTTATGGAAGACGACAAGTGTTCACATCTGGTATGCAGACTATATTGAAATCCAAGTCCATTAGCCACCATCAGATTTTCAGGATGATGGTGGCAATTAATAAGACATTACTTTGATCAATAATTGATTGTCTTTCATTTAGTGGCATAAAGTTCAGCCTGTGGTGACTGTCAGGGTAAGAGTAGAATTGAAGACATATTGGCATGCAGGATGAGGGAGCAACTTACTCTCCAAAGGCTCTTGACTTGTTGTTTTTAATTAATGATACAGTGTCATAACCTAATGGCATTTCATTTCAAATGGCAGAAAAACCCAAGACAGCAGTGTGTGTGTGTGTGTATGGGGGGTAGGGGTGATAGTAAGTGAAACAGCCCTGAGCCAGCTTGTCGCTTCGAATAGCACAAAACAGTCACAACACGATTTCTTACTTACTAAAATCTTACATTCCGTCACTTACTCCTAAAAAGAGCAGACAAGAAGGGATTCTCATATTTAATTTTTAAGTGAGTCTTCAGTGACGGAGCAGTGCAGGTGAAGCATTCTCAGAGGCTTTAAGTAAATACGGACACATGTTGTCATTGTGAACCCGCTCTGCTCTTAATGTGAGCTGGCTTTGCTTGGTTTCGTGTAACAAATGGGTTTTTCTTGGTACATGGTTGAGCGCGCAGTCTGGTGCTGTGGGCAAAGCGCCGTGCTCTCATTTCAGGCTCTCTGGGGAGAGCTGCACCATCAGAGAGAAATGATTGAATCTCTTTCTCCGCTCCATTTTCGCTCATTTCTCCTGGAGTGGATCAACCTGTGCCCCCAGCGCAGGATCGTGTGTATTGTATGCAGATGTCTGTGTTTGCATTTACATAGACCTGCCATGGTTGTTTTGCACATAATTCTTGTTGTCGAAGTATGTAGGAGATCTTGTAAGCACTGTTTGTATTCAAAACTGTCTTTTGCTTTTGTGTGTGTGTGTGTGTGTTTTTTTTTCCCCAGACGCTGATATGCATTGAGGATGAGTGGAGTCGGTGAAAACTCATCTGACCCTGCCAGGGCAGAGTCACGAAAACGCAAAGAATGTTCTGCAGAACTTCTAGGACCCAGGTAAGTAATCACCTGAAGGATCATAGTATGACAGCTGTCCTAGATTTAAAGTACAGAGAAAAGGGGAAAAGTAGTTATCATGCAGTAAAGATCCGATTCCATCTCTCCACACAAACACGTTATTAAAATCTACCCCCTGCTTTGCCAACACGTAGGATCCATAACCTCCTGTTTACATCAGTTTTCCCCTCCTGTATGACTGTAAAATCAAGCTGCAATGACTCTGGATCACTGAAACATTGTATGTAAAACAGTTACCAAGAACACTATGCTGTTTTGACAGTTAACCCTGGAGCGCTGTTAAAGAATGTATTATAAATCTGCATAATTAATCTGTAAACAAGCACTAAAAAGTATAGGTCTATTGTGTTAGCATAGTGGAAAGGCCTAGAGAGCTTTTTCAAGCCATATGAAGCAAAATTGACTCGAGCCTTGTCCCTCCTCTGACTCTCCTCCATGCCAAGGTTTGCAGTAGATGTTGTGCACTGTCATTTGGCAGCTATGAAAATGAGAGGGCTTCTCAGTCATATGCAGAGATCTATGTGGACATAACCTTGGTGTAGTTTTGCAGATGGATTTTCTTTGCTGCCCTAGGATTGTTCTTGTGCCTATTCATTCTCCTATTTTGCTAGAACTGCACTTACCACATGAGCATTTCTACTCGTTTGTATTTTTTTGCCATAGACCTTTATCATCTGTGCGTTACTAATACATTCATTTTCCCACCCCTGTGTTGTTGTTTTGTTTTTGTTTTTTTTATCTCTGCAGTCCCAAGCGGAGCAACGAGAAGCGCAACCGTGAGCATGAGAACAAATACATCGAGGAGCTCGCCGAGCTGATCTTTGCCAACTTCAACGACATCGACAACTTCAATGTTAAACCTGACAAATGTGCAATCCTGAAGGAAACTGTGAAACAAATCAGACAAATAAAGGAGCAAGGTACAAGTGGCAACCTGTCATGTTTTCGACACTTTATCCTTGTTTGTTGAAGAAACTGTCAAGGTGATAGGTCCCAAAGTACAACAGTGAAAGGAATACTGAGTTACCTGAGCCGGCTGTTTTTCTTCTGAAGTTCCGAAGTTTTTCCCTTCAGCTTTCTGTGACATACTGTAAGGCCTAGTTGTATTCTCAGACTAACCTAAGTGAAAACCTGGAAACAGATTCAACACTACAATTTCATTTGTAGCTATATGCTCTGGAAAAAGGGTTTACAATTTAATGAATAGGGTTAGTGTCTTGTTTCGATTTAAGGGTTCCAGTATAGCTGCGAATACCACAATGTCTGCAGAAACTTCAGCTTTAGCAGCATAAGTATTATGCTTTGGGATCTACTCAGCACATAAGAGCAGCACACCTGATTTAATGTTCCCTCCATCACTCCATCATGTAACGTGCACAAACCAGAGCAGTCTTTGGCTTCCAGTCTTTCCCATTCTGAGCCAGGACATCAGGCAAATGGATCAGTGTGACTGGTTGTTCTTGCCAGCTTCTCCTTTAGTAACTTGTTGAGGTTTGGCTTTTTTTAAACGTTTTTACCAAATTAATGGAAATGCTTTTTTACCCTGTTACAGGTCCAAACTGTTAAAAAAAAAACAACTAACAAACATTAATTTCCTTAAGTAAAAGTAAAGGCAATTAATAAACTGAAGCTTGGACCATGTATACAAGAAAGCAGCTGAGTGGCTGATAGACAAAGAGTGGCCCACTCTATCAGACCAGTTGATGATGTCATCTTGTTTTATGTGACTCACAGAGCCAAGTGTTATGTAATGGGGAGGAATGTGATGCAAAAATCACGCTCAAACTCTAGCTACTGTCTGTCCGTCCCTCCCCCATTCTGCTGTCCTATTCTGTACTCCCTCCCTTCCTACCTCAGACCCTGCATTGTCGTTTTTTTTCTCTCTCTCTAGGCTAGACTGACATCCTCTGACTGCCTCAGAAGGCAAATTTGTGTTTGCACAGAAAAAAAACCCCACTGAGGGAGGGGGGCTAAATCATCCTTTTCCTGCTTTGTCCTCCATACGTCAGTGGCCACTTAGAGTACCCTTTTTATAGTTAACATAGAGAGCTGCTGCACCTCATCTTGCACAGTTCAGAGGAGCAAGCGTTTTCAGTAGCCATTGTTTTTTTTTGTTGCACTTGTTTTTGAACCAGAGATGCTGTGAAGCCATTTAGGTCTCTTTATGCTCGAAGTAGATGTCAATAATCATTTTAGCACCACTATTTGTTCTTTTCATTTCACCTTGTCTGTCATGCATTTAAGTGTGATGTACCTGGAATGTGTAGGATAGTTTGTGGTGCATCTTTGTTTCTATAGCCCCATAGCTCATCTTTTTATTGTTTAAGATATTCTTTCATTGTGGTGACAGTACTGAATGTATTAAATTACACTTGCGCGACTTGATGACTCTCACTGATTGATGTCACGGCCTTCCTGCAACGCGGCCATGATGGCATTTGAAAAAGCTGCCTCCTACTGAAAGCTGTTAATTCATCCCTGTTTGTTCCCCTCATGCTGTCTGTGTACATCTTACTAAATGAAATCAGGGTGGAAATGCTCAGCGTAGGCTTGGCTTTTTTTTTCTCTTTCTAGCTTGTTGCACTGCAAAGGTCCCATATTTTGCCCCTTTTCAGCAAATTAACGCAAGTCTCACATGGCGCTGCAGTGTGTCTTTCAATTTTTTAGCTCTAAGTAGTGCAAAGATGGTACTTTTTACCATGACTGTATGACCCCTGGTTTTAGGGCTTTTTAGCTCTGCAAACCAATGAGCTGCTGCTGTCCATGCACCCTCCAGGAAGACATCTCTCTCTGTGTGTCTGTGATTGACCGTGACTAACCCTAACCCTGACCGTACTCCAACATTTAGTGCTACAGAGCCGCAGCTTAGAAATGGCTCTATAGTGGTTAACATGTAGTTATACTGGGCTTCTTTTCAGTCACTGTTTCGTGCTCATTCCATTGACTGACGACGGAAACCGAAAAATATGTAAATGAGAACAGCTGTATTTCGGATTTCGGCTGCATTAAAGTGCAGCTTACGTGAGCGGGAGAGATGCAAACAGATGTAAACACCAGCTGAGTTTAGGTTGCACTGAAGAACAAGCAACAAAAAAAAACAAAACAGAAACCAATTTAATACTTGTTTATTGTTTTTAAATTAGTTTTAAAGTTTCCCACCATCTCTGAAGGTCTGTAGCTCTTTGCGGGCATGTGATCAAAGCTAATGGTAACGCTCGTGTGTTGGTGTGTTTTGCTCATGGCTGAGACATTTTGGACTTAGCAGAAGCAGCTGTAGAAAGGAAGCAAACCTGGTGAACTGCTCATTCTGAATGGCTCACCTGACAAGCAGTGGGCAGTGAGAGGGCATTATTAACCAGACATTGAGCTGGACGACTGTTGATTTTTTTAAGTGTGAGGTAGCACCAGGGTCGACTTTTTACTGGCTTGTAAAACCTGGAGTCAATCCAGTTGTGGGGGAAGTTGAGGAATGACAGAAGTAAACGTTTTTATGTCTTAACAGCTTTTACTTTACACCTCAAGGTTTATAACAGCCACATAGCACAATAAAAATGCTCACCATACGGGACCTTTAACAGACAATATGTGCACTAATATCTTCATAGTGTTTTAAATAATGGCATAGTTTTGTAGTTTTGCAGTTTTTTTTACACTTGGTGTTGGCAAGAGCAGGCAGTTAAGACCACCTCTTGTAGGCTGGTGGAGGAGGAATACAGTCGCTGCTTACATGCAGCTTTAGTGCGTTTTTTATTCATTATGCATATGTGAAAAATAGAAAAATGTAACGCATAAATTGTTAAATATAAGAGGATAAGAAAAAGTGTATGGTAAATGTCTTGACAGTCACGTACTACGTAGTCGTTATTACCTGATACAACCTTTTTCAATTGATCAGTTCCTCCCTTCGTTTGTGGCACAGTTCCATAGTTCTGCAGATGGACAGAAAGCCAGTGAGGGCCGCACTGACATTGAGTGATGGCTCTGTACCTAGGGCAGCTGTGCTGGTCTACTGGGCCCCGCTGGGCCTGGAGAGGTCCTGCTGATGCGCACATCATTAATGCTGAAAGAGATGAATATGGGTCTGTGGGGTGTTGCACGAGCCCACAGAGTGCAGGGAAACCTGCATTTGTGTTAGCTTTCACACATCCATAGCCCCAAAAAAAGGAAAGACATGATTTTGTTTGCTTTTCAACACAATATTTTTACACCATATGGTCAGCCCTCTTCTTGGCGTGGTGTGACAGTTAAATGTGTCCCCCCAACAGCCCACTCATATTCCGCCTCTCATCATCATCTCTAAAAGTAGGGCAGCCTACGCTCTGAACATAAGGCTTCTCTGCATGGTTATTAACCCACTCACATGGACAAATGCATAGCCTCATAGTGCAGGTACAGGAGCTTGCAGGACACTCTAAATTCTCACTTTAAACTACAATGGTTGTAGAATTTTTGCATTAAAACAATTTTCTGGACAGTTCATTAGACAATAGAAAATGTTCTGTTTTTCCTTTTGTCATCAACATTGTTCATTATGTAGCTGGCAAATGATTTTTTTCATTTTACACAGATCCAGATAGATGAATTATAGCCCACAGGTATATTTATGCATAACAAATCATGTTCTCTATGTCCATCCAATAGGAGTACTAATGCTGAGGTCATAGTTTAGGACCCTAAATTCATATCTCGTAAAGCTCCAGCTGCTATAAGGAAACGGCTCACCTGCTGAAAGATTTAACCTTGGTCTTTTACGAAGCGTTTCTTGATCTCGTTTTAATAATGAAAAGAAGTCTTGTGTTTAGTCACCTAAAATGAAAAGCTTATTTTGAATTGTTCAGATTATATTGCATTTTTTGTGTGTCTACTTATCTTATGTTTATCTTATGAATAATGATTAATGACTTGCCTTAATTAAAATGAGGGTTTATGATCAACTTCTTAGATAAGTTCCTGCTGAATTACATGGTACCAACATGCTATCTTATTTGGAACAGGAATTGTTTACACATGTTTCTGTTATAGCCTTTTTTTTTTCTTTTTTTGCACATGACAATGTAATCCATCCAGTGGCTGTCACCAGCGTGGCAGCAGTGTGCTCTAACACACTCATTTACAACAACCTTTCACTCTGTTTGCTGCTCTGTGCTCGGGTTTGAGCAATGGCCACATGTTTTCACAAAGAGACCGAATGTGTTTGCTGTGTAACCGGATGGATACTTGTTAAAAGACTTGTCAACAAGTGACCTCTTTAGAGTATGTGGGCCAGCTTCAGGGGGAACATAGAATTGTTTGCATCTGCTTTTTCTGTTTGACCCCCATGTTTTACTGTCCTGTGATGTAGTTTTGATCGCCATAACAACAGTAATATCTTACTTGTTGTAGCCACAGAAAGTTAAAATCCATTTGCTCTGTTTAGTTTTTTTCCCTAAATGTTTGTCATTAACTCTCCTGTTAACAGAAAAAGCTGCGGCAGCAAATGAGGAGGAGGTACAGAAGGCTGATGTCTCATCAACAGGCCAAAGTGTGATTGACAAAGATGCCTTGGGACCAATGATGCTGGAGGTGGGTAGAGGGCTTTTTCTTACTTACTCATCGTGTCATATCTGTGAAGGAAATGCCACGCTCAAACCGAATTACCCCACGCTGAACACTCATACCTACACTCACATCGGATATGCTCTCCTCTTTAGATCATGATTGGTATATAATGAAGAGTGCCATCCATAGAGAGCATATTACAAATGGGCCAGTAGTGGTTGTGTGTGAGCGTAGCCGTGTGGAGTAAAAGCTGCCAGCATCTTGTATGTGCCTCTGATTGGCTGTAAATCACCGAGCAGAGCAATGGCCTCGTTGTCCTGCGGAGGGCCACTGAAGTGCTTACATATAATGGGAAAGAAAGCAACAGCCTGGCGAATGAATCAGTCCATTGAGCCTGTCCTCTCACTCATTTCCTCCCTCCCTTTCCCTCTCTCTTACTTGTTCAGTTCTCTTTTCTCTCTCTCTCTCTCCCTCCCCATCTTCTCTTCATTCGCCGCTAGATCTGTCCTGTCATGGAATATTTATAGCTCTCCTGGTCCAGCGTCACTGAATCGACATACTAACTCGCGGCTAAATATAGCCCAGTGCAGCCTGCAAGCTTTCCCATCTGTCAGCAAGCCCCAAAACACAGCGATCGGCCATTCACACCCGCTCCACTCTAGCCATGTCCCCGTCCGCCAGGCCAGGCTCATTACAGGATGCTCCGAGGAGAAAGGCTGTCGGCAGGAAATGCACCCACGCGCCCTGTAACCCTCCTCCAAGGCTCTCCGCGAACCGCTCTCATGCAAACACAGAGAGACGGACGAGGCTGCGAAGAAACATTAGTGCACTGTTGTTTTAACCTTCAGGGAGCAAATCTCGCCCTGTCACATGTCTATTGTGGCGTACAGTTCGCGTTCTTGGTAGACCGCTCCATATGGTTGCTGTTGTGTTGCATGACAAGTGATGACACTACTAGGAATTTTTCTGGTACCAGTGCAAGTGTGAGATTATTTTTTTTTTACATTTTATTTTCAACATTATTCAAACATATCCGACCATTTGGCAAAACAAAGCTAATATCGAATTAAAGAGGAAGTAAATAAGAGTATGACTTCAACCAAACAGAATTTGATGCTCGGTGCTTTCTGCGCATTTCGGACTGCACCAAAAAAAAAAAAAATATTAAGCTTGAATATCAAGTAGTCCTGTTGGGATTTATGTGTAGGATTGCGGTAATGGTTTGTCATATGGAAAATGCATATTTAGCAAGAATTTATGAGAAGAGACACCCTGTTTGCAGAGCACCAGTATGATATAAATAACCCCAAAGGGAAGAGGGGAGTTGACCAGATCCTTACTCCCTACCCTGCAACAATTCACTACCTGCTGTATATGTTAGTGGGAGGGTAAGCAATATAGAGTCATATATCAAGACAATAGGTTAGGTGCAAAGTGGAACAGCTACAGCATGGGGCACGTGATATCTTGTGTGTTTATTTAGAATATATTAAATGACTTTGGTCATCTCTGCAGGGTATATTTAGTGACTATTGTAAATTAAGGTATTGGCTAACAGCATTATGCAAGAGTGTCTGGAGGAAGGCAAGAGTTGGCGCTAGAGAGTGTTTGCTCTGTTTCTGTTTGCCCTACTTGTCCAGTTCATGGCCTTTCTTCACACATGGTGGACTTACACAACCATGTTGCATTTTGGAACAGGTCTGGTACATGCAGTGATAGATGAGATCTCCTTAAGTCTATTTTCAGATCTTGCTGGGTTAGAGCAGGCAGGGGAAAACTTCTATCGCCATTGTGATCATGTAAAACGTAGGATGTATGAATTCGCTGAACCCCAAAAATTAAGCCCGGTACCTGACTGTAGGTATGTTAGGCAGCTTAGTTTTAGAGGTTGATTGTAGTTGTACCCATGGTGCTGTGACAGGAGAAGGATGGCACAACCAGGCGTACATCCTTAAGACATTAAAACCTTTGACATTCATTGAGCGGTTGCTGTTTTATTTGAACTGCGCATGCTGTGTGTGTAAGACTCTGCAAACTAACAGCTGTGTGGGAGGGGTGTTTAGGTAAAGATTATTTAAGCAAAGGTGAGGACCAGACACCTTGAGAACAGTCTCTTGTGTCTGATCTTAACACCAGCTTATACAGCTTCGCAAGCTCCAGAAATCCCTTTTAAGGGCTCCGGGTGATTTGATGGCCTAATTGACACCATCTTGTGTGTAATAGTTGACCTGGGGCTGTATTCTTTCAATTAAGTGCTGCTCCTCCTTCACATCTTCCAATCTCTGCAGGCACATGCTTTTATCCGGCTTTCTATCAGCCACACCGATGTTGAGCTCCTGCCGGAGTGATGCTCGTGCTCAGCGTACAGTGCACTAATCGCTGCTCTTTAGACACAGTGTAGATGTGCTGCATATTCCATCGTTTGTTAAGAATTGTGCCGACGTTTTGGTCATGTATGTGCATTCCAGCTGGCACTCCAAACTACAAAATTACCAGACAAACAATAGAAGTCTGCAGGACTTAAAGCATTCTCTGCATCTGTAACAGTTTCTTTTTTTATATATATGTAGACAAAGTCTCAGTAATCATGAACCGAAGTTCGACTTGTTTGTTGGATGTTACAGTTTCAACCTTTCAAATGATTGCAATAATCATCGTAGGGAAAAGCATATGAATCCAGGACTAGGCTTTTATTAAACTACTCAGCTGAGGTGTTATTTGTATTAGCAGCGATTACTGGTGAGAAGTACAGTTGGTCGAACATATTTTTGCGCTCCTGCTTTGGTAAGGATTTGTTCTGTATGTGTGAAGAACAAAAAACAGCAAAGTGTCTGTTCTGAACTCTCTTCTCATTCTTTTTCTTCTTTTCCTCCCCCCCCAGGCCCTGGATGGCTTCTTCTTTGTGGTGAATATGGAGGGGAACATCGTGTTTGTGTCTGAGAATGTGACCCAGTACCTTCGCTACAACCAGGAGGAGCTGATGAACACCAGTGTCTACAGCGTGCTGCATGTCGGGGATCATGCTGAGTTCATCAAGAACCTGCTGCCTAAATCCCTTGGTTAGCGCTGAGCTTATTTTCCCTGCCAGCATTTACTTTGCTCTGTTTTTTTTTTTTTTTTCCTCTACCTGTCAGTTTCTGTCTCACTCTGTCAATTTTGTTCAACATCCCTCTCTTTTCCCGACTCTGCGTGTATGTCCTCTATGTTGCATCATTTTTACATGCACTCAACACCTTCTTCTCACTGTTTAAGCAGGTACGTGTGGTTTGATGGTGATGTCAGTTTAATTAAAGTGTTTATGGTTCAGCCACTGCAGAGCGGATGTGGCAAAGCAAAGTGTTGGCACTGTGCATAAAACCTATAGGTTCTTCATTTTCTCTTTTGCTGATGCTCAGCCCAGACATTTGCTCTCACTCTCCTCCTCTTCCTCCCTCCCTTTTCAGCTAATTAACTTCCTTTTTCGGCTTCTCTCCCCTGTCAGCAGCATCGTGCTCTTCCTATATTCTCATTTCATGCCCTTCGTTCCCCTTCTCTTCACTTTTTGTGTTATTTTCTCTCTCTCTCTCTCTCTCTCTCTCTCTCTCTCTCTCTCTTTCTGCCACACACCCTCACCAAGTTCCTTTTTTCATGTTCTCACTTTCCTATTTCCTTGCCCACCCATGAAAATCATTGTCTTTATCCTAGCATTACTCATCTCATGAAAACAGGCCATTTATTTTTGTAAGATAGAATTTATCTTTCTCATTCCTTCGCTTTTGCCCTTTCCCTTTCCCCATCTTCTTTCTGTTCTGTCGTACCTGCGCCCATTTAACATCCTACCTCTGCATCTCTTCCGCACGAGAGGTGATTGTGATCTATGTCACCGCAGCCCGTCAGGAGCTCTAAGTCCTTCTCTCCTGGTGCTTCGGATTGAGGTCTGAGTACCCAGCCATCTGGGTGGGAGAGCAGCACAGAGCGGAGTACCCTGGAAACGATCAGTGGGATGTGTCCCAGATACTGGGAGATTATCAATGCACTGAATGAGATCACAAACCAGATGGAGTGTGATGGGAGTTTGCTAGAGTGAAATGAGTTGTGTGTGACTATACATGTCTCTTTTTTTTTTTTTCTTGCGTGCGTGCTTGTGTGTATATATGCGTGTGGCTTCTTACACATGTGTGTGAATGTGTGTTTGCTTGCGCCTGTGTAAGTGTTGGAGAGGAGAAGAAAGATTGGCAATGATGTTTTAGAGGACATGCATATGGAGGCCTGGCTGTGATGCATGGCTGTGGATAGATGGCACAGGGCTCGGGGTTCCAACTGCTCATTATGACTGATCTCTACCCAGCAACAGCTCTCTCCTTTTTTTACACTTTTTCTGCCTTCATTCTCTGTCTTGCTCTCATTATGTCTTTCACTTACAGCGTGGTAGCCTCTCTTGGCTTTGCCCATTGCAGCTTCCCAATCTCCCTGTTCTGTTGTTCAGTTTTTGGCCGCAGTAAAAATTTGTCAAATAAAGTCCCCCCAGGAGGCCAAACTGTAAATCTCCTTTTCCCCTTCCTGCTTCCTTACAGTCAATGGCGTCCCATGGTCAAGCGAGGGTCCAAGGAGGAACAGTCACACATTCAACTGCCGAATGCTGGTCAACCCGCACAGCGAGAACCAGGACGAGCCGCACGAGCATGAGCCGCAGCAGCAGAAATATGAGACCATGCAGTGTTTTGCCGTTTCGGAGCCCAAATCCATCAAGGAGGAAGGAGACGGTATGGAAAGAGGCGGGGGAGATGGTATGGGGGGGGTCATTTGACACTAAAGTAGTGACGACACAAATCAGCTTTTCACAAGATCAGTTTTCAAATCTGTTAAAACTATCCGAGCTGCCTGCCTGCAACAACCGTCCTCTGCTATAATGCATTGATTGAATCTAAATCAATTGTAAATAAATGTGCTATTATTTAGTTTAAGAATAGAATTTGACAGGAATTTTAGAGTCCTGGGTTGCATTTTAGAGCTTGGAAATGACTACGTCCTGAAACACACAAATCTGAGGAAGTGGTAGAATCATTTCTAAGAAAAACGAAAGTCAGATCAGGAAAATGAAAAGTTTATTTTCAGAGGAATAAGTATAAAAATAATTCTTTGTACATTCTAGGACAAAACAAAAAGTGAAAAATAACTAATTTAGTTTCGCAAACTAAATCGGAGAACAAATTCCTGAGCATCAGACTGACATCTGCCATCTTCAATAAATTGTCATGTTGTAGTTCTGAGACCATGATGAGGAAAAAAAGAGAGTTTTGAAATTTGCTTGGGTGTAAGAAACACCACAATTCGATTGCTAAGAAATGGAAAACTGATTTAAAGATTAACCAAAGTTGCATCCATTTACATTTTATATTTAATTTGAATAGATGATTTACCATATCGTGTGTTATAATTGGCTTTGTATGGGAGAAAACAACATATGAAGCAACTGACGAAGGAAAGTGCTGGTGCCACTCAACTTACATCCATGAAAAGTTAAGTGACACGAGGGAGACGAGAGGCTGGAGCGCTGTCATTAAAGCTCATCTATAATTCATGCACATCCCTCGCAAACCTGGGCTTATGACTCCAAGGGAAGGATGCGTTTTAATCGTGTATTGCAACAGTGGACCGATCTTTTGATAACCTTCAAAACAGATTTGAACACAACGGAACATGAACACCTTGAACATATTTCGGAGCATATGGGCTCAGGGATAGAAAGAAGCTGCATTCGTGTTCACGGCCGGGACAAACATCTGCGCGCCTTGCCTGGGAAATGATTTAAATTGTATGTTGTCTCTGCTCCTCTCTCAGTGTTCAGTCACTGAGAGGTCACTGGGCTTTTCCAGCGGTTTTCATGGCTTCAGGCAGGAACATGAGGTTCTGAACTCTTTACAAACTTCCATCAAAAGTGTCCTTTATCCAGAAATTTTCAGGACTTTGTGAAGCATTGATTTCTGATGTCGGATCATTCCACATCTTAACTACCTTAATCCTTTTTCCTAAGTGAGTTTATAGAGCAATCATAATTTTCCACTGCCAAACTGCAACTCGGTGGTAAATTAAAACAAGTGAAAATGCAAATGCTTCACTCTGAGTCTAGTCTTTTCGCCTTGTTGGCTTCCTTTGTGCACCACCTGCTTGCCAGCCATACTCTGGCACATAGACTAACTAGGACTCTGGCCAGAGATGTGAGTTTTTTGTGTGTATGTTAGTGGCAAGGCAGGATCAGTGGTTACAGTTGGAAGAATTTGTCCAGCCATAGACAGAAACGGAGAAAGGGAGAAGAAGGAAAGCTTAAAAAAAAACTAACGGAGATTCACAAATTTAAGGGCCGGACCACCCAAGAGGCTCTGTTTACAAGTCAAAATAAGGAATGTGTGTGTGTGTGTGTGTGTGTGTTAGCGCTGGCATGCATTTCTTTGCCAGAAACATGTGTGGGATCGTGGGTATTGCTGGCACAGGAAAGTTAGATGGCAGACTTTTTGGGGTCACCCCAGTCCTGGACTTGGCGGTGTCATCTTTGCGTGTGTTAGAGGCAACTGTCATGATTGAGCGATGGCGATCTTTAATGTTGGGCCAGGGGAGGTGTCATCAGTGTGAGATGGCACTGTAGGTGAGACCAGCCGGGGACTCGCACGCCTGTACATACACACAGCGACACTCGCACACATGCACACGCACACACCTTCAAAGGTCACACTTCATCATTTCCCTTGCCAGCAATAGCTGCTCATCCTCATGAAAGGAGCGGAGCCCTGATCCCCATGCTCATTAATAACTGTATTAATTATGCTGCCTGGGAATAACATGCATTTCATTTTCTTTCCCTCCCTCTGTCTCTATCATTTACGCCCCCATCCTCCCCTCTCTCCCGTCCCATCCCCCTTCATCTCTTCTGTCCTCTTTGTTACATCCCCCTTCTCATCTTTTCTTCCCTCCACACGTTCCGTCTGTTTGGTCCCCTCTTTTTCTCTCGCTCTCTCTTTTTTCAGACTTTCAGTCATGCCTGATCTGTGTGGCTCGCAGGGTGCCCACAAAGGAAAGACCCATGCTTCCCACGCATGAGAGCTTCACTACACGCCAGGACCTACAAGGTACACGAACCAGTCACACAGCCAGGAACTACAAACTGATACAACAAAGATAATTCACAGCAAACTTTGATTGTGATGTTACTTTAGTAGAGCATATCCATACATGTAGCTGTTTGAATACAGATTGCCCTGTATAGAAAGAATAATATAGTGGCTGTACTGAGGCACAGCAACCATACCTCTTTATCCCAGGTCACAAGCCTATAAATCACTTCACGCTACAGTTAGGTATTTAAAGATTATTATATCCTGGGTAGAGGCCTGTAGGATTGAACAAGTTGGTTAAACTAGCTTCCCACCTATGTCTGCACTCTAGGAGGTAAAGTACCTGTCTGAACACTGGCATATAGGTGCAGACGGATGTCTGTGTTTCACCTGCTCTTTGATGTACTCTAACCATTCGTGTGGCATGCACACAGACACACAACACACACTCATAGTTAGTCATTGACATATAGTAATTTACTGTTTCCCACCCAGACTTCTGTAGGTGTGCATGTATGTATGCCTCTGTTTATACGTCTGTTACGACTGCACAATTGTATATAATTACCATGATTTATTGTGTTCAAGATTGATAGTATGATTTTTTTTTTTTTAACTCACAACAGTATTTTAATAAAAATATTGCCTCTGCAATCCTCTTTTGCCAAAGTGAGCTTGCTGAAAATGATATAGTGCTCCTGTTATGAGAGTGACAAGTCCTTAGTCTGTCCCTATGGCTGTCATTCAAGCAGCAGTACGCTTGTCACCCCTTCAAATGCATCACTGCCTCCATTTAAATTGCATTCCAGTGAGGGACAACTGTTACACTGCTATAAGTGTGTGTGTGTGTGTGTGTGTTTACACACGTAGCTAGGGTGTACTTGTTGTGCTCTAAAGATAGTTGAGCCTGAGCTTCCCTGGTGACTTTTAAAAGGAATCCTTCTACCTGCTGTATTAAGTGTCTAAAGTTGTAGGTAACGGCGAATGACAAGCTGTAAGTAAAATGTAAATAGGAATACTTTTTCCTGAACTAATGTCAAACCACAGAGCTGCAACAATGTGGCCAAATGGAGAACAACTTCCTCTCAGCAAGCTTTACATGTGTATGTTTGATGTAGACATCAAATGTCCATCATCTCAGTTAATGTGGGTGTGTGCATGTGTATAGAAATCCCTACTTGCGTGTCTGACTAAGACCTCTCTAATCTGGCTCTCTGTGCGTAGGTAAGATAACGTCCCTAGATACCAGTCTGCTACGAGCATCCATGAAGCCAGGCTGGGAAGATCTGGTGAGGCGCTGCATCCAGAGGTTTCACCTACAGAATGACGGAGAGATGTCTTTTGCCAAGAGACACCAGCAGGAAGGTAATGCTGTTAACTACAAGGACAATCCTGTTAAATTTTTGGCTCTTGATATCAGTGTCCTTTGATCTTTGATCTCTTCTGATGCTGTTGTTAGACACTTCCATGGGCATAAAGTGGTGATTTGAACTTGTGTCAAACCATGAGCCCCTTTTAACAGAATTACTGGTAAATCATTGGCTTCTGTTGAAGGACCATCCATGCAATGACTCACTGCAACTCCAGCAAGAAAATAAAACCAGTTTATATTAGTGTGCATCTATTAATATAAGGGCATATCTGTCCACAGTGCTACGCCATGGTCAAGCTTTCAGCCCCATCTACCGGTTCTCCCTCTCTGATGGAACCATCGTCTCGGCTCACACCAAGAGCAAACTGGTGCGCTCACCTGCCACCAATGAACCCCAGCTCTACATGTCCCTGCACATTCTGCAGAGGTATGTTTCACTATCTACACTTGTGTCGGTAGGAGAAAGACAAATCTGCAGCTTGAGTTTGCTTGCATGTTTTAACCTGTTAGTGCCCTGCAGCACCTCTTAATGGCTTCATCTACTCTGTGTGAATGGGATAGTGTCTAACTTAATGCCTGTCACTGATCTGTGTCAAAATCAGACATAAAAACAAGTTCAGCCAACAAAACATTTTCCCACCATTCCCTTGTGAAAATGCAGATAGTTTGGGCTGTATTTACCTTGTCGCTACAGAGATTTCAGCCAGTAGTATGACAGAATTTAAACAACCAAGTTTAAATTGGCATACCCAAAGTATTAATGGTAACGGTATAAAGTGTTGTTTTGATTTCCTTCATCACCAGTGTCAATATGACTGATACCAATCAAAACACATGTATCATGTTAGATCACATCCCTGACAATGATGACTTTGGATTGAAGCCAGATTTTGTGGTGTTTCCCACTTCAAATTTTAAAGAACATCAGAATTGTTTTTTGTTTTTTTTTAATCAGCAGTTCCTATCTAAAAACAACGTGATGCTGCATTTTTTTTCTGATTTCTAACATCCATTAAAAATCTGTGGTGTTGAAAACTATTCAAGCACTGATAAACTGCATTGTATGTTTGTGTGTGTGTTTTTGCTCTAGGGAGCAGACAGTCTGTGGAATGGGCCAGGACATGGGTCCTGGCAGTCAGGCCACAGGGATGGCTCCCAAACCAATGAACTCCTCCACTCCCTCCATGACTCCTCCAACCCCAGGCAGTTTGCCAGGTTCGGGGCCTCAGGGCCAAGACACTACCATCAGCAGCAACAGCACGCCTTTCTCCCCTCCAGGCCCTGCTGGTCCCAGAGAACCAGCCGCCATGGGGGGCCATATGCAGGGCTACCGCTTTGGTTGTCCCCCACCACACAACCACACCGGGGGCATGCAACCACCACAGCAGGGCCCCAACTGGAGGATGAACAGCCCGTCTCGCGCCAGCCCCAGTCCGGCCGGAGGGCCCCATCCACCTCAACAGAACTCTATGCTGTCACCCAGGCACCGGGGGAGTCCTGGGGGGGCAGGAAGCCCTCGTGTAGCAGGAGGCCTGCACTCGCCGTCCCCAGTGGGGATGTGTGGTGGAGGGCCTGGAGGTGCAGGTAGTAGCACGACTAGCACCCATGGTAACAGCTACACTAGCAGTTCTCTATCAGCGCTGCAGGCCCTCAGTGAGTGTCATGGTGTAGGACATGGACATGGGCCCCCTCATGCACATACACTGGGGTCTCCAGACCGCAAAATGGGCTCCCCAGCTGGAGTCACACCAGGGACAGGGGTAAACACTCATATGATGTCAAAACTTGGAGCAGGCAGCAGTGCTACTGGTGGAACAGGAGACTCATTTGGACCTCACTCAGATGTGAGTCAGGGGCACACACAGGCCCAAACGGAGGGCAACCTTGCTGAGCCCAAGGAGGAGAGGGAAGGCCCCCTTGAGGGCCACGATGCTCACAATCGTGTGCATGACAACAAGGGCCACACCAAGTTACTTCAACTGCTCACCACCAAGCCAGAGCCTCTAGAGACGCCTCTGTCCCCTGGTGCAGGAGGCGAGGGCAAGGACCAGGCTGGGACAGGGGTCCGGGGTGGCCACACAGGAGGGAACACTCATGCCACGTCCCTTAAAGAAAAACACAAAATCCTGCACCAACTGCTTCAGAACAGTACATCTCCCGTAGATCTTGCCAAACTTACTGCAGAGGCGACAGGTAAAGAGCTGGGCCAAGACCAAACCCAGGGTGCTGGTGGTACAGCTTCTGGGGCAGAAGTTGCTCCGAAGCAGGAGCCATTAAGCCCCAAGAAGAAGGATAATGCCCTGCTACGCTACCTACTGGATAAGGATGACACTGTATTGAAAGACAAGGTCCCTAAGCTTGAGCCTGGGGAGGTGAAAGTTGAAGGGGGCAAACACCCCCAGGTCAAGGCGGAGAAACAAGATGCAGGATACGACCGGGCTGAGCAGGTCAGTTTTTTTGCAAAAAGCTTTGTTCTACAAGTGTTCAGTTTTGGAAACATTTTGTTATGCTGTGTTAAAAAGGAGCTGGTTTACTGGACTTTCTATCTTTAAGATGCTGAAAGTACATGAGGTGCCCCCAAACTGACTTTGTAACCTCTTTAGACTACTGCAAAAGTTTTTTTGCCTTGAATTGCTCCACTTGCCTGTTCTCTCTGTCTCAGTGTTAATCTGGGTTAGGTAGCAGATGTTGGCTCCTCTAAGTCCCATGTCCACGCAGGATGTTACAACTAAACACACCAACAGTCGGGCAGTATAGAGTGGAGGACAGACAGTATTTGTAGCGTATACGCATTCAGATTGATGGTCTTGTCATTTACGCGTAATTCATTGTGCATGTTTTTTATTAACGTATATAAACACATCTGGTCCTTTCACTGCCTGTGTGTTGGCAGCACAAGCGAAGGGAATTTATCCGCCAGCTTCAAACAACTGTGACATTTGGAAGGAGCCCCTGTGGTTCTTCAGCCATTTGATCCTGGTTGCATTTGGCCAGAATCCTTAGGTTTGGCACCGAGCTCAGGTCAGTCCTGGCACCGAAAGAGAGAAAAGAGTAAAAGGGAGTGAGCAGGGCGAGTGTTGCTGGTGAAACTCAAAATTTCTGTGTGGCAGACGTTTCAGCAAAGCAGAGTTTTTACACCAACCTGCCGGTGCCCTAATACAGGAAAGAAAGCTGGAGCCTCACAAGCTTTCATACAGGAAACCTGTGCATGACGTGCTCTACTGAACACACGTTTAAGACACGAGCCTGCAAATGTCATTTCATCACACACATCACCTAAACCACAGAATTACATAGAATTACACAAAATTACATGAATGTCCTTCCACTCTTTTCTGTCGCTGTTTCGGTTGTTACCTTCCTTAGACGAGTCACATCGTCTGGGTTACATGCCTTCTGTTTTAAATGTCAGTAACATTGAACAAAGGTGACTTTTTTTTTTTTTTTTGTAGAAATGCACGGTCATCTTTTTATATAACAGCATAGCAGTGTCCACACTGCGTTTAAATCTTGTCTGGACTAGGATCTGAAAAATGGCTCAGATTGCATGTTTTGACTGACCAGTTTGAAATATCCGCTGACATGAGTTTAATCTTTGTCAGAGGGTCAGTCTTCAAGGAAATAGTAAGAACCATCTATGTCATTGTCTTAAAGTCTACTGCCTTCTTTGTGGCACATTTGTGTTGAGGCGGTGTTGTTTTTCCATTCAGACAAGAGGGGCAGCGGCACAGAATGTCACTTAGCTATGCGCGCTAGCTGCATATGTACAGTATGTGCTTGGCCGCTTGTATTGAGAAGAGGAAAAGGTGATTGGTTGGATAATAAGAGCCGCTGTTGAACTGAACAAAGAAGGGGAGATGAGAGAGGTGTAGATACCCCCAGGAGAGCCCAGCCTCGGCAGGCAGAGTGAAAATGATGAGCCATATGCTCCTGCATGTCCTCTCTGCTACCATGGAGATAGAGGGGAGAGGGAGTGGTGTGTTTGTAGAACATACAAGAAACAATAAAGGGAAGTGGAAATTGAGAGAAATACAGGTTTAATGTGTACATCTTAACACTGAAGGTTTTGTTTTCTAGAAGTGGCTTATATATAGCACGGCAAAATAAAACTGAACAATAATTTGGTCTATTTCTGCCTTTCGTAGACAGTACAAATTAAATCTGGATTTCACATTTAGATAGTGATTAAAGCACTCCCAGCTTCCAACAGTGATGATGATGGCTCACTCCAGTTTAATAGATTTCACCAGCTAGAACAAGGCCATTTGTGAGACATGCACTAAGCCACGACTTCATTAGAGCCATTACATGTGTGTGAGTGGGTTTCTGTTCCTTGCTGGTGAATTGCTGCTTGCCATGTGTGAAAGCTGACTGTACTAGTTTAAAAGTCCACTCATCCTCCTCTCTACTAACCTCACCCACTGTTTTCTCGCTGACTCTCCCTCCCTTCCTCTGACTCGCTCCTCCTCATGATTGTTTGAGAGCTGAATTATTGATGGCCGGAGCAGAGCTAAATGAGAAATCAGAGCAGAGCTCCGACGGGGCTGAAGGAGCTACAGGGCTCTGTTGACCATAGGGATGGTTTGGGCCCGTGCCTTTACGATCAGATGGACTGTCAGCGTTTGACGAGACAATCGCCGGTTGTTTTCACTGACAATATTAAGTAACAGTGATTATGATCACCGCTAATCACCATAAGTGACTCTACTCCTTAATTTAAAGCAACTCATTCTGCTATCTCTTTTCCATCTGCCAGTCCTGACAAGTGTGCTGGCCAATCTGCCAAAAACCTGTATCTTCATTCTCCATATGCTTGCTCACCAAAGCAGCATCCGGCTGCGTCACATTCCTGCTCTGTCACACCTGCCAGAGAAAATCTGCTGCCACTCCAGCCAGAGTGTCTGACCCTTGCCAGCATGAGTTATGTGTGACCCAGGCTCTTTTGCTTGCCCCATTACCTTTATGTACCAGATCTAATTCTCTAAGACCAGTTGTCAAAAGCTAAAATTCTTTTGTGAATGTATATGTATTCTGTAAATATTGTTATTTACATTTTAAAAAGTCTGAAAGCAATTATGTTTGTAACCGAGAAAGAAACTTAACTAGCTCCCTGTCATCACATATACAATATTTATGCAGCCAAAATCACACTATAGTGTTCTCCTATATTCACGGTTGTCCATTGTGAGACATAGGAAGTAGTGTGCAATTTGATCACAGCTCATAAATACTTTCTTAACCAGCAGTCATTACCAAGCTGTTGCTCTGCAGATAAAATCTTTATTTTATGGTCTCTAATTGCCTGACAGAAAGAACCAAAATACAGGTTAATGAAAGCGACTGTGATGTGGGTTTATATTTACTGACATCGTAAAAGAGTAATCACAGAGAAATGAAGCTCCAGATCAGTGAAACAAAGCAAATAATCATTAGCATTGTTGTAGAAAGACCAAAAGTGCACCATGATAACGTTAATTGTTTATTGCCTTAGACAATGAAATCACTGCAGCTCAACTCGGTGTTCCTTCTTATAAGGATTGTGATGGATGTCGGTTGCGGTCGTGGTAGACTCTCAGTGACCCTGGACTAAGTCCATAAGGAAAATAAACAGTATTTTCTTTATATTTAAAGAAACAAATACTCATGCTCACTCACTTACTACTGTGTAAACGACACAGGAGGACTATTTCCATAATTGTTAAATTAATGCTTTTATTATAATGTATTTTTACTATATATAATTAAAATTTGGACGAGTTTGGTCAAATTGCATCAAAAGCATGACTGAAAAAGCAAAGATGGAAAAAAAACTGTTCACTAGTAATATTCTCAACATCATCTTCAGATACTAAAACACAAATAAGGATTGCAATTAATGTTGTCGCCCTTCTTGTGATGTGAAAAATTGCAATTTCAGCTTCGTCAGATGGTGAATACAATTTTGCCGAGTTGTTTTTTTCTTTGATTCTTTTTGTCGTTGTTTTTGTTTGACAAAAAGGCCAGCAGGATTCTAGGGTGAAGTGACTTTTCCTTTTTCCTTAGTTGGCACAGTGGCACTTCTGCTTTACACGCCCCGTTTCTCAGTTCCCCTTCCTAGAAAATGGCATGTGCTAGGTCAGAAAGACACAACAGCCGTCCTACCCTGAGGTCCACGCAGACATCTGGGCACATCTGTACATGAAAATGGACAGATTTGAGATTAACGACTAGATGTTGGAGTGTGGGATTAGGATGTGTATCAGTGTGTAACTGTGATCATACCCTGCTCATTCACAGATGTGATTGCTGTAAGTTCAGTACCAGATGGATGCAAGTCAAATTGTAAGAGTACACATTTGGTGGGGCCTCATCACTACCCTACTGTGAGAAAGTCAGCTTGTTGTTGCGAGGCATACAAATGTCTCTAAGCGAGGGCGTTCTGTATCAATGAAATATAGGACACACCATCGGTTGAGAGTTAATTTCTGTAGCCTAACGTGCATCCATAACTATAAAAGTAACAATAAAAACGAGGGCCAGTTAAGATTCAGTTTCTCTCCCTCATCGGTATTCGCTACATACACAGGATCTTTTTTTAAAACCGTATGTGCAGCATTAAACATGTTGCTTCTTGTAATTTGTGTGTCCTTCACTGCTTTTTGTCGTGCAACTAATGTTCTGACAAAATGTTAAATTAGGATCTGAAAATGGGACATGGCGCGAGACAAAATATTTAACATTTTAATAGTCATTTGGCCTAAAAAAAAAAACAAAAAACAAACCTTGCAGTTTTTTTTTTAAAGTCAGTGTAGTAATGGGTGTGATCTGCAGAAAAGAAGGACATTGGTTGCATTACATGCGCTGACATGCATTGAAAGAAGAGAGTAACAAGGATTGATAGAAATAGGACCCATTAAGGGTAAAAGCAACTAGAGAAGACGAGAGAATAGAAAGTGGGAGGAGAGAGAATTGGAGAGGAGGAGGAGGAGGAATAGAGCAAACTGAGAGTGTACAGAAGCATTACATCATTCCTGACCTCATTAGGGCTTTTCTCTCTCCCACCACCACCACCCCCCACTCTGTTACTCTCTCTAGCTCTCCTACATATCCTGTCTGCCTCTTAGTATGATCAGCATTGTGTGGATAACCTTTTTGTGCTGGGCATGGGAGACATTATTTAAAGAGGGTCTTCTCAGATGGAGGAGCAAAACGTCCTAACCATAAAAAGTATATGAAGGCATGACCAAGGTTGTTGTACTTAAGCTCTCTAGATAACTGTTCTCTCAGACATTGTTGGCAGCCTTGTTATCTGTAGCAGCGGTTACAAGACTAACAAGTACATGTCACTGTCCAGAACACTGAAGTACAACACTGGAACAGTGCTGGTGTGCTGTTTTCCTACTGTACAGTATGTCACGATCAGGAGACGTCAGTGATTCCAGGTGTACTGCACTCTGGTGGACAGTTCCAGCCAGTGCAACTTATTTACCTTAAGTCCCTCAGGTCTCTATAGGAAGCACCTATGTCAATGTTGTATTTCAGTTTTGACTGTAACCCATATTTTCTTTCCAGTTGCCAAGTACATGTTTGTGTTAGATCGGTGTTCATCAACTTCATGTTACTTTTATGAGACTGTTGGTTATAGAGGTGTTTTATTTGCTGTATTATTGAGGTGTTCCTCTTATTTCAACTATTCCAGTCTGTCACAGTGAGGAAAGGAAATACAGAAGAGACCATGGAAGTGTTAGAAAACAAAAAACTATTTTCAAAAAGATTCAGGTTTTGCAGTCATAGCAATTCTTCAGTTCAGCAAGTGAAACCAGGTCCCTTCATGGCCTTCTTTGTTGAGGGTAGTGTGTGAAAAACAAAACAAAAATTGTCCAAGATAGTCCAAAGCCCAATTGTATATGATTGCAGCCTTGGGCTGTATCGGGCTGGCTTAGGACTTATGTTTACAGTAGGGGGGCAGAGAGCAGTTCAAACTTTGGCACCAACCAAACTCCTGCCTATTTGCTGCTTTTTCTATGTTACTTCTGCAGAAAGCAACTTTACCAGCCACATGTTTTCTATCTTGCTGTTTCCTCAGCTGATTGTGTGTAAAATGTTGTTTATAATAATGTGGCATTCCTAATTTATGTGCTTAAAAATATTGTGCTATAAAAAAGGGGAGCAGTTGTAATGTTGTTCATCTGAAAGAACAAGACGGTAAGCAATGAGCAGTATGTGAGTCTGATAAGCTAAGTCAAAGTGAAGTGTGGCCTAGATTTATTGGAAAGTGGTCCATTTTTTTCTTGGGGTTACTGCTGTATTATAAACAAGGCCAAGCCTGCTGCTCTCATCTCCTCCTTAAAGTCTCCTCATGCGAGTTTGCTCTCAGTAAATGTGCATGATTGTCACCATTTGTGTTTGTGTATCTAGTTACAGGTGAAGCAGTAATAGGTTTCTAAATAGAATCTTAAATAGCTAATCTAGTTGTGTGTTCACACTTTCCCTTTTCTCTCTCTCTCTCTCTCCTCTAGTCGTCAGAGCTGGATGACATCCTGAACGACCTGCAGAATGCTCAGCCACAGCTCTTCTGTGAGCCACGGCCTGTTTCGTTGCCCAGTCCCATGGACAAACAGAACATCATCAATGACATCCTGCAGATGTCCGAGACCAGTCCTGCCATGCCACCACAGCAGCCACACAGGGGCATCGGAACTGGCATGGGTCCAACTAGTGAGTCCCAGTCTTATTTGGAAGAAGAAGTGCACAGACCTCATTATGTTAAACATTTACAGTGTTTTCGTAACACTTTCACCAGGTTTGAACTGTTTCATTTTATTTAAAGCATGTGACTACAACCCTTTTATTCCTGTCTCCAGACTTCGGCAGTGTGCGACCAGGCCAGCCAGGCCGGGGTCTGCCTGTGAGGAGTGTGTCTCTGGACATGAATGTGTCCCCCCAGCCGCCCTCATTACAGTACCCCATAAGGGCCACAAGCCCATACACTCTTATGCAGCAGCAACAGCAGCAGCAGCAGGGCATGGTGGGAAGCCACAGCATGATGGCTAACCAGGCCGGTATGGTCAACGCAGGTAGGTGTGACAGTTACACTTTTGTGGCCACAGTTTGTTACTGTCCGAATCAGTGGCGCGCAGCAGTGTGTGTTACCGCCGTTGTTCCAAAATGTTCCTTAATAAGGAATTGAATCAATGTCCAGATGCTTGGTCAAATAATGATGCATGCTCTAACTTATCACTGTAAATGAGATGAAACTTGCATTAGTTAACCTGAGTTGTAACAGGTTACAACATATTAAAAAGCATAAAGAGAAAAAGAAACATTTTGTTCTCAGGAGTAGCAGAATTTAATTTATTTCACTCAGTATCATAGCTGTTTGTGTTTTTCCAGTTATGAGTCACTGTTGGATGTAAATCAGTTTTCACCCTTTGTCAAGTTTGATATCTTCTAGACAATCTCACAGCAGTAAAACCAGTAGATGAATCAAAATTAAAGTCTCCTGTGTAGTTGTGTTACCATTGTGGTGGCTTCCAAATTCTGAGGAAAGCCGTCCTTGCCTCGATCTTTTTTTCTCACCGTGTAACGTATGTCATGGTACAGTGACTCACGTCCTGTGACAGGAAATAGTCACCCACAGCAGCTCAAAGTTTCTCTCACAGTCACTCCCACATATTAGCAGTCCTCAAACGTACCCCACTGCATCGAGTGCGTTTGCCCACTATGTTGTACCATTGCATCATGGGCACAGAAGACTGAAATCTGTCCTGAGATATACTCACAGCTTTTTGTTTCTTTGTGTGTTTTATCGTGCAGGACTGATGGCTCCAGGTGGTCCACGGCCAGGCATGCAACAACAGGAGGGCTGGGTGGGTCCGGCCTCCGCCCCTCCTCTGGGAGCGGCTGGTCCTGGGCAACAAGGTGCCATGCAGGCCAGGATGGGACCCGGCAGCGCTCCCATGAGGCCCAACAGTCAGCCAGGGCCCCGGCCGATGCTCCAGTCCCCAATGATGGCCAATGGTGAGTGCACAGTGTACTTTAGAAGATACATCATGTTTTAATATGAAACTAGTTAGAAAAACAGTGTACATTTCAGACTGGTGAAACACAACAGAGCCATTCTCCAGCCTGTCAGACCATAACATACTTTGAAGCATGTCGATACAGAAACCCAGAAAGAACTTGCATTTTGTGACTATCAAAACTAGTTTCCAAGAATTGGTGCATGTAAAACCTATCATGCTTGGCTACAGGTGAGGCAAGACCTCAACTCACCCACATACTGTTTACCTGTTTCTCATTGTAGTGAAGACTGCCACCTTGTGGCTCGTCGTAATATATCCCCTTACACAGGAATGTAATATCTGACCCAGAACTTTCTGTTCCTGTGTTGAAGAGAACATTAAGCAGTTTTCAGCTTGCTTGTTTTCTGCAGTATCATTTAATTACTGCATGGACTGTGTAATATTTTGCTTTCATCTTTACTTTTTTTGTCTCTGTTTAGCTCAACCTGACATGGATATCGGTATGGTCGGCCACCATTTCTCTCAACAACAGGCTCCACCCAACCAAACAGCTCCCTGGCCAGACAGCATGATGCCAATTGACCAGACAGCTTTTGTAAACCAGGGCCGGTAAGGGACTTGCTTACAAATTGCTTGCAATAATACACAGAATTAAGACTTTCTTTTTTTGCCTATTTTGTTGTAGTTGAATTGCTTTCAGTGTTGGCTATGGTTTATAAAGGACAACATTTTCGCAGTGAGAAAATAATGAAGTGTTTTCTCTGTGTCCTTTTTGCCCAGACCGGCACCCCAGGATGATTTGCTGTGCAATACGGGGCTCGGCTCAGGTGATGGCAGTGCGGTAGATGAAGGGGCCTTGATGTCGCAGCTGTACACCGCACTAAAAGACTTTGATGGCCTGGAGGAGATTGATCGTGCTCTGGGGATCCCTGCTCTGGTAGAACAGGTGAGATCTTCATCCTTCTAACCTACATCACCTCAATAATTTATCATTTGTTTTCAGTGATGTCCTATTATACTTTTTTTTTATGGCTCTACATTTTTTATGTGCCTGTTTTAGAGCCAATCACTGGACCCAGACCAGTTCCCCCAGGACCCCTCCATGATGATAGACCAGAAGCCTCCTATGTACACCCAACAATTCGGTCCCCCACCATCCCACATGGCACAAAGGGGCTATCCTGGTGCTCCCATGCAAGAGCCAGGCTTCCACCCCATGTCTGGCCAGATGGGCGCACGGCCGGGTTACCCACTGATGAGAATGCAGACCCGCCCCGGACTCAGGCCTACCGGGGTCGTGCCCAACCAGCCCAACACACTACGACTGCAGCTGCAGCACCGGCTACAGTCCCAGCAGGTACACGTGCCTCTAAACTGTCCCGGCACCACTGGGAGTGATACCGCTCATTGATTCTTTACTCTGATGTAACCTTAGTGTTTGATCAGTAGATTAAACACACAAATGAGAGTTGTGCAATTATCCTTGAGGTTGACATTTTGGCAGGTCATCCATGCACACAAGTAGTTTGGGTATTTGGGTCTCCCTGCCCCACCTGCTGGACTTTTAGTGAATTTACTGGAACATTATGTTACGCTGAGACTGCACAACTGAAAATACCATTTAAATCCATTAATGCAGTGACTTTATTTGAGCTGTTATATCACTCTAATCCATGTCTTTGATGGGAAACTGGTTGTATTGAGGGTTTTTTGTATTCCTTAACTATTCACTAAATAGAACTAAGCAGTATGTCTGTAACTGAACAAAAATCAGAGCATTTAAAGTGTTTACAGTTACTTAAAAATTCATCTGTGGGCAGTTTGTATTAACCTTCTGCTTGTGTCTTTTGTCCCAGCAGAACCGTCAACCAATGATGACTCAGATGAGTAGTGTGTCAAATGTGAACCTACCTCTTAGAGCCAACGCTCCAAACCAGGTACAGCGCGGCTGCCATTACATAATGTGTCTGCACAGACATGTTGTTACAGCATGACTGTAGGTGGTGTTTAGGTTGTTGATGGCTTGCAGTAAATTGAAGGCTTCCATTTCAGTGTTAGGCTGAAGATGCACAAGTAGACTTGCATAATTTAAGGGGCCTTTTTGTAATAAAAAAAAATTCTGACATGTTGTCCTTTCACTTGCAGGGAACCATCAATGCTCAGATGTTGGCGCAACGTCAGCGGGAGCTGCTGAGTAATCACCTGAGACAGAGGCAGCAGCAGCAGCAGGTGCAACAGGCCCAGCAGGTTCAACAGCAAAGGAGCATGGCCATGAGGGCCCAGGGCCTCAACCTGCCTCCCAACATGGCCCCCGGAGGCATGAGTAACCCCCGGAATCCTCAGGCCAACCCGCAGCAGTTCCCCTACCCGCCCAGCTACGGTACCAGTACAGGCCTGGCCTCGTCACCTCCCCCTACCAGCCCTTTCTCCTCCCCTCTCTCCCCCAGCCTGCCCTCTCTCCCCCCCAACCCCCAGCTCCACCTGCATGGCACCTCCTCCTCTTCCTCCACCTCCTCCTCCTCCTCACAGATGATGATGGGAAACACAAACATGATGGGCGGACAGTACGGGGCCGTACTCAGCCCCCAAATGCAGCACAGTGCCTTTCAGTTTCCCAACTCAGGTACTGCTCCCACATCCCAGCCAACCACACACTTCACCCTGCAGCCAATGTGCGTGTGTGTGTGTGCCATTGTGTCTGTGTTGATGTGACTCTAGTTGCACAGCATCACATGCTTTTTAGTAGCTGCAATCATCCGATTCGTAACGTTCTGTACTGATGACTGCATTAATCTGCTGCCATCGAATGATCCAAATCATACTGCATATTTTTTACTCCTCAATTTTATAACACGTGAACAGTTTTCAGTGAGTGTGATCATATATTGTTATTGTTTTGTCAAGTGCCCAAAATGGTGTCTTGGCTATGCACTGTTGCTCCACCAGGGGGCACCAAGCGCACAATAATTCAAGCTTAGTTCAGGATACACACTGACACCAAGGTCTACAGACTTGACTGGGAAGGACAACAATCATAGCTATACTTGTCAGTCTAATCATCTGATTTGTCTGATGACATGTTTGATTTATTTCCACTTTCAAATCTTACTCTGGCCTAGGATCCTTATCGAGCAATAGTTTCCTTAGACATTATTTTTCTCTTTCCCTTTTTTCCCCAAACCATCTCCTTATCCCCTTCCTTCAAAGTTCACCTTTCCGTTCATTGTTTCCATGCATGTAGGAAATATTAACCGCCTGTCAATAATCCTGAATGCAGACTGGAATGGATTGTCTTCAGTGACTCTAATCATCACGCTTGCTCGTTCTCTGCAATTGTTTGTTGTTACGTGGCATGTTTGTGTAATTTACATGGACGGCTAACATGAACTTCACTCAGTACATTGGTTTGTAGTTGAGTCTTTGCAGGTTCGAGTCTGGCTGACCTGTTTTGATGCATCCACCACAGGTATGAGCCAACAGGCAGATGGAAGTTTTGGAGGTCCCGGCACACCACAGAGCCCTCTGCTTTCTCCCCGCATGGCCCACACACAGTCCCCAATGATGCAGCAGGGCCAAGGAAACGCTGCTTTCCAGGGTTCCCCTGACATGAATGGCTGGCCGCAGGGCAACATGGGAGGCAACAGGTAAAGATGGCGAGGACTAAGTAGTGCCTGGTTACATGCTGAGTTTAACTGTGGTGTACACTTTCTAAGGATGCTAGTTTTTCAGCTGTATCAAAGCAATCCAATGGCTGCGTGTGCATTTATATGTATGGTCAAACTGGAATTCCTGATGGCTAGTTTAGCACACTTTAAATGCTTAAGATTTAGCAAGATATTCATAAAAATGGGTAAAAAGCAGCTGACTTTGTAGTCCACTTTCCCCTCCATTTCCCCTCCCGCATGAGTACAAATGTGCTCAGGACACACTGGAGTAGTGTTGTGCTGATCAGTCTGAGCCACTTTTTGTTTCCCATTTATAGAGCCAGGCCTGTGTATGAACACAGGTTGTTTTATTCCCAGCACACAGAGATTGTGGACAGCTAATGGATCGCCAGGAGATAATTAATAAATTTGACAAAAAAATAATGTGTTGGATTAGTATTGCTGTACATTTAAAGCAATCAAAAGCAGTTCAAACAGTTGAAACTATCTGGATTTTATGCTCACTGTAGCATTCAAAAGTGTTACAAATGTAACTCGTGCTCTTTCTCAAGTTTCAGATAATATAAGGAACTCCTCATGTTTGAACAGAATTCTTCTGTTTGCTATCTATACAATGATTTTTGAGTTTGCCTTACTCACACAGCGTCTTTGCTTCTCCTCCCCTCTCCGCAGTATGTTCTCACAGCAGCAGGCATCACCTCAGTTCACCCAGCAGAATAACAGCAACATGTACAATGGCAATGGCATGAACCTCAACAATGTCTCTATGGCCACCAACATGGCAACCAGCAGCATGGGCCAGATGGCTGGTCAGATGAGTGTCACGTCCATGGCCTCAGGGCCCTCACCTGGCTTGCCCTCCATGGGACAAGAACAGGTAAAAACTACTTGGCTAAGCCCGACAGGTAGATTGCAGTATTGTGACGAAGACTTTTAGAAATGGTAGATGCAAGAGTTACAGAACGTCACTGTAGGGAAACAGGTAGTGCTGTTTTTAAGCACTTCACAGTTGGGCTTCATAAAGTATGGCCTGACCAAATTAGAGGTTTTCAAGCGCTCCAGTAATATCCTCAGGGTGTCCCTTTACAGTAGCGCTTTGTAGTAATAGACGTCTTTCAGAATTTAAACCTTGGAGGTTAACAAAATGGACCCCTTAAAGTTTTACACAGTAATCTGGGGACCAAGAAATACTAACAGGTCTGTGTTTCTTTCCCTCCACTCCCCAACTGCTCATGCCTGCGTTTGTCTTATCATAAGACCCTAAGTGTTTGGGTACACTTACTGAACGGCCGTGCTGGTGAATAATTTACTCAGTAGTTTACGTAAGTCCTCTTGCCAGAGTTGTGCTGCTCGGCTTGAACTTAGAGGACAGTGATGTAATTAGCAGCGGGCACTTCAGAGCCAGACCATTTAGAGATGTATAGACGTTACTGTGTGACGTCCAGGCTGCGCCGTCTGGACCATGAGCCAGTTCGCTTGACATGGAAAACTTTACTCCTCAAGGCTCAGACCTGTCGAATGTTCACCCTACAGGAGCATATTAACATGTGATTTGATTGTACTTGGATTTTTTACACGTAGACAACTCTCACTCATTGAAACCCCGGTAAAGGTAAAGATGTTTTCACTTGGGCAGCACTCCATTCCTGGTGGTTATCGTTCGTTTAATGTCACGCGGGTTAATCCATCTTCCTTTGTCTCACTGGTATTGTTAGCTTGGTATGTGGAATGCACTGTTGTTGTTCATGATGCTTTTAAGCCAATAAAGAGCCATTAATATTTAACCAAGGTGCTGCTGTTTGATGTCTGCACTTCAGACTGTTGTAACGCACCAGTATATCTGTCACCTGGTTTACTTCCCCTCTAGGATTATAGAAAAATATTGGCACTTAGATTATTTCAATTATTTACTGTTTGCCCATTAGCGCAGGATTTGTGATTTACTGACTTGTTTTAAACTTGTTCTCCAAGATGGTTTCTAATTGTTTTTTTAGTCTTTTGCAAAAGTGCAGTTTACTCGAGTCAAGTTCAAGTTAACCAGCCAGTTGTGCTGTTGATTCATCAAATGCGTTCCAAGTTGTGACTTTCATGTGTGTTGTTTCTCTGCAGAAATACTGTTGACCCTCATGGAGCTCTTAACATGAACCTCAGTGATCAGCTGGTGCAAGGAGCGCGTCGGCCCTTTAAGAATTGAAAATACAAACATGTAACCAACCGACTGCCCCTTGAACCAGCCAGGCCGTGCCCTGACCCCCTCCGCTCCCCCCACCACCTCCTCCCTCTCCCCAGCCCAAAATTTACCGTCTGTCCAGCCGGGCCTCTTCGGCAGCCAAACAGACACAGGAGCATGAAGAGAGGGCTGGGGAAGGATCGTGGATCTTCTGTCCAACATGCCTAACCCTCCTGGAGGAGAGCCTCGTGATGAGCCAGTTTATCTGCCTGTCCAGCTGCATTCACCGTCGTGTGACTTACTGTAGGCCTCCTGGTGGGGTACACTGACTTAAGGGGGCAGCAGTGGGTGGGATCCTTTTGTTCTGATGAATGTATTCCTCTCAGTGGACAGCGGCCATTTACAATCTCATCTCAAAAAAAAAAACAACAAACTTACACTGATTTTTTTTTTCTTTTCTTTTTGTTTTATCTCACTCATTTGTGACATTTCCACATAGTTCCAAAATGGCAGCAAAGACTCCAAGTTATGTTCAGAGTTATGGATGGAGCTCAGACACTTAGCCGGTTTTGCCTTTTTTTTTTTTTTTTTTTTTTTTTGCTGTTCTTTATTTTATTATTATTATTATTATTATTATTGTTCTTTTAGGGTTTTTTTTTCTTTTTTTGAAAATTAAGATGTAGAGTGAAGATATGGTGGAAAAGACTGATCTTGAAAAAAACACTGCAGAAGAATGGTTTGAGTGGAATGGTGAATTCTATGATTAGACTAATTTAGTCAAGAGGTTTATATAGTGTATTAAATTAAGTTTTATTTTTCTGTATAGATTCATTTTAATTATTGTAGATGATTCTTTATCCTAGTAGCAAGAAGAGAAATATTTCTAAAAGTGTGAAAGAGGCACTTTTTTTTTATCATTTTAACAGTAATGGTTGTATTCTTTCTGAGAAGATTCTTCTATTAACCTGAATTATGGATTATTCTTTGGTCCTGTAGTTTCAGAAGATGTCAAAATCAAATATGGTTTAAAATTAATTACAGAGATTGTACATACCAATAAGTAAAACGTTTTCTTTCCTATTTATTTTATTCCTTAGGGTTTTGGTTCTCCCAGCCTGGTCACAACTGCCTCTTGAAGCAGAGCTGTTCTTTTTCTTTCTTTTTTTTTTTTTGTTTTTTTGTTTTTGGGACATGGAGTGGGAACCTTCACATTCTGATGTTCTGGTACGATGCAGACAGGAGTGCGGGTGGGAGGTAGGGACGGGCTGTAAAGGGGTGTGCTGTGTATACAGTGTACAGATTAACGCTTGCTTCTCTGCCTTTAGCATAGAACACAACAACAAAAAAGGAGAAAAAAAAACACAAAAAAAACAACAATTCAACACAGCCATACAGTAAACTCAAAAAGTATAAAAAAAAAAAAAAGTGTGCTTTCTATGTTGTCTGGAGTGAAAAATGCTTCATACAAGCTGCTAGGTGCAAACTGTTCCGGTGTGATGTAAACAAGCAATAACAATTACTTGAGAATCTCTTGGGGTTTTTTGTGTTTTTGTTTTTGTAATTTTTGTACAGTTTCCTGAATAAAAAGGACACATTTTTGCTCCGCGTTTGGATGCAGTATTAAACACGGTTTTTTATTGCAGTTTGTACCAAGAAAGTCCACATCCACACACAGCGTTCCTATTAGATTATGCAGCATTGGCTGAGACCTGGAGAGGGAGGTAGTTTGTGATTCCCCCCATTGACACGCGCCCTCTCTGCCTCCAGCCGTTCTTCTATAGCAGAGGTCAGAGTTAAGACTGCACGGTTCACGAGACCTGCTCTGACAGACACTTAGCCATATTTTATGACCTCAGGCAGTTAGTTCAACTATAAAGTGTTCACTAATGACATGCTGGTCTTGTGCCCCAAGTAGGGGTTTGGTTTGACCTTCACAAGATCTGAAGCAAGTCATCCTCTCTAACCTCAAAAGTAGATTTTCCTCAACAACAACAACGAAAAAAAAAAAACTTTTTATATTAACTATTTTAACCCAGGACAGACTTTGAGCAAGCCAAATAATCCTCACATTTCAATTGGATTTCTGAATTCTACTCGCTTTTCTTTTGGTAGTGAGAGACCACTTGTTGGTCGGCGTGCTTCGAGGCCCACACAAAACAGGAAATTTACGATGATGTCACTTAACAGGGTCTGATGTAAACGTTGCATCGTTGAACAGGAAGAGAATCATTCTGAATGTATTGTCATTAAAGGCCTAAGGATGTGACTGATGGTGTTTCTCGTCAACATGTTGACAACGTGGTGTTGCGCGGTTACGCCACGCTCTTCTCAGCATTTCCAAAGTTGCCCATTGTTGCTTCTTTTCTTTTTGTTTGAGTTCGATATGAAATTTGAAGTTGTAGCAATCAACTTTGGGACAAAGTCTGCATTCTGGTTTGTCCTGCAGGTGTTTTGTTGTCGGGCCTACAGGAGATCACACATTTTTGATAAATGCTGTTTTGATTGTAACACACAGTCGTGCAGAAGAAGCCTTTTGAGCCATTTTAAAAAGAAGGATTCACAGCCCTTTGCAAATTTCCAAAGATTGTCAAGATTTTGAAATGACTTAAAGCCATGTGGTAGCAGTGCATTTTTTTAGCATTTATAATGAGGACAGGTGCAAATAAATGATTTTGCCCCTTACAAATATCCAGGCTTTGGACCCACTAAACAAAAATACTTTTTTTTTTTTCTCTCTTTAACTTATTGTTTTGAAGAACTTTAAATGCCCTTTTGTATTGTCTGCCAATTTCTTAGAGCTAAGATGCAACCTTGAAATGCTAAAAACCCTAGCATAATGCCTTAGATTTCGTCCGTTCTCGTTCTTGTACATTACACCGCTGTCTGTATAAATTTGTATAATGACTTGTGTACAATATTGAATGGGTGCATCATTGTTCAACTCTTCTCAGCTGCTGGAGACTCGGTCACAGTTCAAGTTTCCCTCATCATTGCTCTCTGTTCTGTGTTGGGTTGAAGACTCTTGTTATTTCATTTCTCTCCTCCTCCTCCTCCTCCTCCTCCTCCTCTCCTCACTGTTTCTATGGAAAAGCTGATACATAGGGATATTGAAGCAATATGTAATATACTATATGGACTTTCTGAAGAAAGCTTACTGTTGTGTTTTCCCGCGATATTTTTTCTGCATTGTTCACAGGAAGTCACACTGTATACCCGCATCGATCTTTGTACCCCTAGTGTGTGTGAGCGTTTTATGCAAAATTAGATATACAAGAGAAGTTAAAAACCACAGTTATGCAAGTTGTGAACTAATATGGCTTCGCTGATGCTATTTGCCTTGTAAATAAAGAATTCTGTTATTGCATTATTTAATCGAGTGCCTCTCATTTCATTGGAAGTGAACAGAGGAGGGAGTTTGGTTCACTTTTAATGTTTTTTTCCAACAGATAAAAAAAAAAGCACAAGGAAGCAAAGGGTAAGTTGTTTTTGTTTGTTTGTTTATGTGGTTGGTTGGTTGTGTTTGAGACCAGAAAGAGAATTATAATGAATTAGAAAAAGCACCATCTCTACAAACTCACTGCGGTTTTTTTTTTTTCAGAAATATTTCATATAGTTTATGTTGAAGGTTTATGCTGCATTCCAATGCCCTAAAAATTAACGTTTAGGCCTGTTTTGTTTTTTCACTATATCCTTATTATTTAATATTTTTCGTTTCCCAGGTGAGAAAACACCAGAATTGAGCCTTAATGTAAATAGTTTGCGCAAAACGACAAATATAACCCATAAAATCAACAAGAAAGCACAGTTTATAAAGCACAAAGCACAATAATTACTACGATATAATGATCGAAAACAAACTACAAGCAAGAAAACCCCGCTTTGGACTACAGTTTACCGGATGACTCGTTTTCTCAGTTGAGTTTTGCGCAGTAAAAGAAGCGCAACTATAAATGCCTATTTGAACCTTTGTTTTCTCTCCTCTTTATTTCTGACATTCAAATCATGACAATAAATATCTTCCCCCCTCAGATAAAATCTAATCAGCAGTGTGTGGTGAGCTAGAGACAGGAGAAGGAGGAGGAGGATGGTGTGTTCATATGGAAATGTTTGGGAACCTCTCCATCGGCCTCATTGTGGCCGCTGTGTGGAGAAGTTAACAGGGTGGGTTGTCCCTCTGAAAACCTACAGGGGCATTCAGATGTATGAGGTATGAGTTCGGCCAATAGGAGGACAGGAGCTGAGAAGGAGCATCTTCAGCAGACCTGGCTGGACTCAGGATAGATGCCCTCAGATGACCAGAGACTGACAGAGAGGCTGCTGCAGCGCATCCACCCTGAAGTTTAGACTCGGCCTGCAAGGATTTGGAGATTTGAGCTTCACTTTCTACAAGGAGGTTGTTAGAACTCTGATGTGAGGGCATGAAGGCGACAACTTTACTGTGAAACTGCGCTAGTTTACTCCAGAAGGTGAGCTTCTTGTCCAGCTTATGAACGAGTACTACAACAGCCCTCTGATGCGTATTTATCCTCTCTCTCTGGTAATATTTGATTGCATTTCATTCCCAATTATGCATTTCTTTTTTTTTAAATACTATATGGTTAAGACTGTACAACAGGGGTGTCCAATCCTGGACCTCGAGGGCCACAGTCCTGCATGTTTTAGATGTTTCCTTCTTCCAACATACCTGATTCAAATGATCAGCTCATCATCAAGCTCTGCACAAGCCTGATAACGATCCTGATCATTTGAATCAGTTGTGTGAGAAGAGGGATCTCTATTTATTTTGTCATTTCCAGTTTAGTTTTTTCTTTTGCTCATGATTGCACGGTAATTGTAAAAGTCTATAAAATGCTTCATTAATGTTGACCTCTGCTCCGGCCGGCTGTTCCTTAATTAGTGTCATGACCCTGGTTTGTCTCTATTTACTGGCTGATTGGTGAACGGTTCCTAAAAAGCTCACACACACACACACCATGTTCCAGTGGGTCATTTAAATCCGCTGATGAACATTTGATGTGTGACCTTCCAGCTGGAAATATTGCAAAATCGGCTGTCCTTTTAACACCTCATCCCAAAAGCACCCAGTTAAATGGGTGGAGTTTTCATTTGGAAGAAAATGCACTTTGTAGATTTCCAGCCTGGAAATATTTGATAATGTATCACCTTAGCTTTGTTTTTAGGGGAAATAATAGTTAGGGAAGTGAAGTAAGAGCTTATTTTTTAAATTAAAGTAATGAATTCAGGTGTGGTCGACCTCTCCTGGTGTTTCCCTTTTTAGATTCCTTCCATTAAACTTTTATAACTCACCCTCCACCTCCTCTCCCCCCTCCTGCTTCTCTCATCCACTGAAGGACGCATCTCCTGAACCTCTGCTTCACCTCCGTGCTGTCATGTCCTTGTCCCTGTCCAGCATCCCCGTAATGCTGAAGGACAGGAGCTACCAAGCCGGCATGCTGAAGGGCAGCCCTGCCCGGGGCTTCTACCCGGGCCCTCTCCCCGGCCCCCACTCTCACTACATGGACTTCTTCCCGCGGACGCACAGCCTCCTCCACCCGCTCA